GACTGGAGCTGTCAATCTGAAGTCAGGAGTCTCTTCCAGGTCTCCCACTCAAGTGCCAGGGTCCCAAGGCTTTGAGCCGTTCTTGACTGCTTTTCCCAAGCCACTAGCAGGGATGGGAAGTGGGACTGTTGGGATTAGAACTGGCGCCCATATGGGATCTTGGCTTGTGCAAGGCAAGGACTTTAGCCACTAGGCAACTGTGCTGGGCCCATCAGTGAATTTCAACAATTGTCTTTTCTCTAAGAGCTGAAATGATCAAATGAGATGTTTCACTTATCCCATTAACATGGGGGAATATGGTAACTTTTTTAAAAAATTTAACCTGAGAGGGCCCGGTGCAATGGCGTAAGTGGTTAAGGTCCTCGCCTTGCACGCCCAGGATCCCATATGGGCACTGGTTCTAATCCCGGCAGCCCCACTTCCCTTCTAGCTCCCTGCCTGTGGCCCGGCAAAGCAGTTGAGGATGGCACAAAGCTTTGGGACCCTGCACCCGCGTGGGAGACCCGGAAGAGGCTCCTGGCTTTGGATCGGCACAGCATCGGCCGTTGTGCTCACTTGGGGAGTGAATCATCGGACGGAAGTTCTTCCTCTCTGTCTCTCCTCTCTGTATAATAAAAACATAATAAAAATAAATCTTTAAAAAAATAAAAATAAAAATAAAATTTAACCTGAGAAAGCATTTATTTCATTTTATGACAGTTTTATAGGAATATGGTAACTTAAAAAAATATATTTACTTTATTTGAAAGGCAGAGAGAGAGAGAGAGATCTCTTCCGTCCACTGATTCACTCCCCAAACAACAGCCAGAGTTGAGTGAATCTGAAGCCAGGAACCAGGAGCATCTTCCATGTCTCCCATGTGTATACATAGTCCCAAGGCCTTGGGCCATCCTCCACTGCCTTTCCAGGTTATAAGCTGAGAGCTGGATCAGAAGTGGAGCAGCCAGGACATGAACTGGTGCCCGTATGGGATGTTGGTACCACAGGTAGTATCCTACCTTGCTGTGCCACAGCTCATGCCCCAAAGGCAACTGACCTATACTGCTAAAACAATCTTGCATTGGGCCCGGCACGGTGGCGCAAGTGGTTAAAGGTCCTCGCCTTGCACGCCTGGGATCCCATATGGGCGCCGGTTCTAATCCCGGCAGCCCCGCTTCCCTTCCAGCTCCCTGCCTGTGGCCCGGGAAAGCAGTCGAGGACGGCCCAAAGCTTTGGGACCCTGCACCCGCGTGGGAGACCTGGAAGAGGCTCCTGGCTTCGGATCGGCATAGTATCGGCCCGTTGCGCTCACTTGGGGAGTGAATCATCGGACGGAAGATCTTCCTCTCTGTATTTCCTCTCTGTATATCCGCCTTTCCAATGAAAAAATAATAAAAATAAATCTTTTAAAAAAAAAAAACAATCTTGCATTAAGACAAACTCTTCTTGGTCATGATAAACCATGTTCCTTGCATAGTGATGCATTCAATGAGCTAACTGTTGGCTAATTTTGCATTTATGTTCTTATATGTAATATATTGAGTCACTTTATTTTCTTCAAAGGTCTTTGACTATGGTTGGGTACTGTGCTGATTGTTCTTATAAAACTGGTAAGAGGAAAGTGTTCCCTTTTCCATATTTTTTGAAAAATCTGTGTAGAATAAGAACTTTTGTTCTTTAAATATCTGATAGAACTTCAGCAAGAAGCCATTGGACCCATAGTTGTCTTTAAAGGATGATTTCTGATATATGTTTTTTAAAACTATCACCTTGTTTCAATAGGCAGTACTTCCAATGAATTTTTAAATTTCATTCAATCAATGGTTTGAAATGACTCCTAATACTTCCTTACTATACTTTTAAAGTGTATTTGACCTATAATAACTTCCCCCATTTCATTCCTGATAGCAGTAACTTGTACATTTTCAGTCTTTCTTTCCCATAGTTTTGCTAGTTTATTGCTTTCAGAGAACCATCTGGCACTGTTTATTCTACTGTTAAGGTTTTCAGTTTCAGCGACTTCTGAAAAAAGTTTCATTTACTTGAAGGAGCACTTACAAGACAGAGAAGAGGAAAAGAAGAGGAGGAGGGCAGAGGAGAAGGGAGGGTGGAGAGGGAGGGGAAGACGAGAGACGAGCAAGGAGTGGGGGAGGGAGGGAATTTCCATCTATTAGTTGTCTCCCCAGACACATGCAACAGCTGGGCAGGCAGCATCCAGGAGCCCAGCACTCCATCTCCCACGTGGGTGACAGGGGTTCACGCACTTGAGCCACCATTTGCGGTCTTTCAGGACACATCAGCATGGAGCTGGATTGGAAGTGGGGTACCTGGGACTTGGGTTGCATTCCAATACAGAATGTGGCTTGGCTCTGCATGAAGACTGCCTGCCTCTCAATTCAACATGCTTATTTCCTCCTCTAGCTCCTTCCTTTCATATATATTTTTCGGAGGCTACATAATTTATGAAGTTTACTTCTATTAATTTATCTTTTTATTACTTTATGTCTGGATTACTTAACCTGGGATCTTACAGTTCTTCCCTTTGGGGAAATTCACTGGGAGCATCAATGACCACCACCTGTCCACCTGTGTCTGAAGACTGACAGTAAGGATATGAAGCACCTAGCACTCCTGCTTCACGAACTTTGGAGTTTTCACTCGGTCCCTGCTTATCCGCCAGGTGTGGGAATGTTAAGGATCCTCCGTTTGCACTGTGAATGCCGTGTGGAATCACCAGTGACTCACTCGTATACACTCAGACCTGGGGATGTGAAGGCAGGTTAAACAGGACTTCAGCTCTGACCACACTAAATCCACTGGATCACTGGTACACTGCCTGGATCGAATCACCCTTTGAGACTAAGTATTTATGTTAATTTAATGAATCCTTGCTCAGAAGTTACTGCTTCTGTTACTCTCTTGTGGTCACGTACTTTAAAAAGCTTGTGGAATACATAATTAAGAAGCAATCCACCAGTTCACTCCTAAATGCCCACAATAGCTGGGGCTGAGCCAGTTGCAAGCCTGGAACCTCTCATGTGTGTGGCAGGGCTGAGCACTGGAGTGAGCAATGCCTCCCTGGCGCATTGGTAGTGATGAGAGGATGCCCAGGAGTTGGGACTTGAGTCAGTGTTGACAGTGGAGTGCAGGCATCCCAACCAGGATGTTGTGGCTTGTACCACAACACCAGCCAGGGTGAGTTTATTTTGGTGAAATTAAAAAAAAAAAAATTGAAACCCATGCAGTTTTTCATAATACATGCTTTTCACAGACTTAAAAAATAATAAATTATTTGAGAGAGAGAGAATCCCATTTAATGGTTCACTTCTTAAATGCCCACAACTGGGGTTGGGCTAGGCCTAAAGCTGGGAGCCCAGAACTTAATGTGGATCTCGCTCATGGGTGACTCAACCCAATGACCTGATCCTCAGTGTGGCCTCCCAGAGTGGGCATGAACAGGAAGCAGGAGACAGCTGCCAGAGATGGGCACTGGATCCAGGCACTCCTATATGAAACATGGAGGTCTGAGACTCTAGCCCAAATATCTTCACCCCATGCACTTTTTTTAAGAGTTATTTTTTATTGCAAAGCCAGATACACAGAGAGGAGGAGAGACAGAGAAGAAGATCTTCCATCCATTGAGTCACTCCCCAAGCAGCCACAATGACTGGAGCTGCACCCATCTGGAATCAGGAGCCTCCTCCAGGTCTCCCAAGCGGATGCAGGGTCCCAAGACCCTGGGTCTGTACTCAACTGTTTTTCCAGGCCACAAGCAGGAAGCTGGATGGGAAGCAGGGCTGCCAGGATTAGAACCGGTATCCTGATATGGGATCCTGGTGCGTCCAAGGCGAGGACCTTAGCCACCGCGCCAGGCTCCCCATGATCTTTTAAAATATCCTTCAAATGCATTGTTTTGAAAGTTTATGCGCAATGAGATAAACCTACCTTTTAATTCATTTTTTTCACAAATTTTTCTAAGTATCTTTTGCAACTTTGGAATTCCCACATTCACTGGTTAATGATTTTCTTAAAATATCAAAAAAATTATTGAATACTACTTATTTTCTTTATAATTATTCTGATTAGTACAAATATTTCCATTATAAAATTCCTTAAGAGTTTTCTTTAGAGGAATGATTCTGCTATAAAATTAGACAAGCCAATTCACCAAGGGATTTTGAGTTGAATATACTAATAACTAAGTTTATGCTTATATATTTCACAGAACAGAATTTTTCCCCCAGATTTATCTTTTCAAAAACATAGGGAGGTGAGGCTAGTGTTGGGGTGTAGTAAGTTAAGCTGCCTCCTGTGATGTCAGCATCCCATATGGGGGCCAATTCATGTCCTGGCTGTTGCACTTCCCATCCAGCTCCTTGCTAATGGCCCGGAATGCAGCAGAAGATGGCCAAAGTCTTTGGCCCCAGACCCTCGTGGGAGACCTGGAAGAAGCTCCTGGCTCCTGCCTTTAGCCTGGCCCAGTCCCGGCCATTGTGGCCATGCGGGGAGCGAACAGGCAGATGGATGATTTCTCTCATTCTTTCCTTCTCCCTATAATTCTTCCTATCAGAAAAATAAAAACAAATTAAACAACAACAACCATCACCACCACCATAGGAAGCTGATAGCTATAAAACAAAGCACACAAAAAATACCCTGATACATTTCATACAGAGTAAAATGAGCCCGGGAGGAGGTGGCTTCTGTTTTTTAAAAGCCAAGCAGAAAGGTCTTCATTTCATTAGTCAAAAGGTGATACTAGTCAGTGGAATGAAATATGTACCTGTACAGATGATTTTGTTGCTTCTTGGTAAAAAAAAAAAAAAAAAAACTCCAATAGAAATTTCAATATCATGTTACTTCAACACCTTATTTAAAAAAAAAAAACACTTCAATATAGTAGACCAATTTATACAACTAAACACTTCAGACATACTATGACATGTGTTTTTTTCTTCATGGATCATCAGATATTAATATATGTGGATCGTCCTGTTACAATAATAAAAATCTTCTGAAAATCAGCATGATACCTCATTTATTGATTGTGTAAGTTTGGCAAACAGCACAAAAATCCAGCAACAGTTTAAACATGTAAAAAAGTCAAATGCTGAACAATACTGGGAATTTTCATTTTATCGTTAGAAATAATGAGTACAGTTAGGATTCTGCAAAGCTGGGAAAATGAAGGTGCTTGGCTTCTGAACACATACCACGAGAACATACATAAAAAAAGAACAATATAATTTATCTTTTTCAAAAAATTACAGCCAAGCAATCGAAAAGAAGGATGTTGATAACAGACAAACACCGGCACGTGCGTCTACTCGTATGAGAAATGCTACATCTCGTACCCTGAAATGCCATGTGCAGAGCCCAGCAGAGCAAGGGGAGGCTCCTCGCCGGGGGGAAGAACGCCAGGGGAGCGGGATCCTTCCGTCCAACACTCAGCCACAGCGCCCTGCATGGCAGCCTCAGTCCTAGCGACATACTCCACTGTGCAGCTGAGCCGTTCTCGGTTGGCAGCATCAGATCTCTGGCCAGTATCAAAATTCTGATAAACATAAACTGAAGGCAGGTGTTACAGGGGGCTTCAATGAACGTGGGCGAAAACCTTAGAATCCATACTAAGTTTCTACTGCTGAGCTTGTCAAATCAAACAGCTCAACTGTAAGGCAAGAGAAAATAACCCCCTACAACAGACAAGTATGTCTTACTGGGTAAATACAGGAATTCAACCTCAGGGAAAAAACATCTTACATGAACAAATCTAAAACAGTTGGTATTAAAACCGGCATGTGGAAATTAATCAACATGTTGACATTCAGTCATTGCTTCAGAAGCCCAACCAAACAAAAAAAATCTATTGGTATATATTATTAAATTTACTTTTTGGAATCAGCACCAGTCCCCAAAACTCAAATTAATAATATTTAATCTTCATTAAAATACACCCTTTTTGTGCTATATGAACACAAGTGCAATCAGGTTAAAGAAAGCTGAACTTATCCAACTTAATGTGTATTTTTTGTAGACTGGGTAGTAACTTAAATTTCTGTTATTTACTTGTGCTTCTGTTTTGGGGCACTTTGATTGAAGAGGAATTCATTTCACAGGATTACATCTTGCTAAAGCATTCCTTAGCATTGGTCCAAACTTGAATTCCCTAAAAATAAAAATAACTTTAAAATATGATTCTGGAAGCATTTTTCAAAACCATATTTGGCTCAGCAGCATGCTAAGTTTTGCTTTTGGTAACAATTAACAAGTCCAGTAAATACGACACCATTTGAGGAAACTGCTGACAGGAAGTGAATGTTTAATTCTGCATTTATCCTCAAGACAGAGGAAGAACTTCTACAAATATCAGAAAACTGAGTTTCCAAGGTTTGAATCATAAATGCACTTACTCATGTCACATACTCGTTATCACCTCTGTGCGAGCAAGTCATGTTTTCAGACGGTCTTTTCGGTACAGAATTTGAAACAGAAGTTGTTAGTACAACAAACACAAACAGAGTTACTAAACTGCTGCTGCTCCAATAGAGATGAAAACTCATCCTGTACCAAAACCTTGAGTTCCTCTCAGCTGTGCAGCAGTCCACCGAGCGCCACCTGGAGGTAGGCCTGGTAAGCCTCAAAGAAGGTGGTGTCACAGCAACCCTTGAGCAGGTGGCAGAAACAAAGGTGTTTAATAAGCGGGTACGGATTCTCCAATAACTGCCCATTTCAAAGAAGGGAACTTTTTAAAAAAAATATGTGGTATTAAAGTGTATCAGTATTTATCAAGGCATCAAACAGAAAACAAAAACAAAAAACAATAACCAAGAAATCTTTTTGAGTTTTCTTTCTCCCTGATGGGATACAAAAAGCAAATAGATTAATGAAAAGCAAAACTCTTCAAAATGCCTTAGATGGGCTGGATCAAGTCGTATCTAATGGAATGCTCCCTATCACAGAGTGCGACGGCACACGCTGCTGCAGTATCGTGTCCGCGAGAGACCAGAGAAGCCCAAACAGCACCCTGGCAGTCACTGTGCTCCTGCTTTTGCTCAGGGAAAATATGTGCAAGACTACTTTACTTTGTAGAAAAATGAAATCAAAAGGCAAACTACTGTAGTGCAAATGTTGGTTCAACTCATGCACAGGAGAGGTTTGCAAAGAGTTAAAGGAAAATGTGTATCACAGGAAAACTATGTACGCCTGGATTTCAAAATTCTTTTTGCAACAAAATAACCTGATCTTTTAATTCCATTTTCCACAGACTTTTGGAAGTCCCCTCATAGCCTGTAAATGATTATGTATACACACATACATCTAACCTTGGGGTGGGCATTTGGCAGTTTAAGCAGCTGCTTAGGACCCCAACATCCATGACTGAGTCCTGGTGGGAGTCCTGCCTTCTCCCCTTCCAATCCAGCTTCCTGATAATGTACACACTATGCGGCAAGAGGTGATGGCTTCAAGTGTGTGGACCCCTCCCATTCAAGAGAGAGGCCGGACTGAGTGTCCAGCTGCTGACCCAGCCCGGCCTAGCCTGGCTGCTGGGGATATCTGAGGTGTGAATCAATAGATGGAAGATCTCACTCCTTTTATAACTAATTATACAAAAATAAAGTTGCTTAGAATCACTGAGGTTTTTTTTTTTTTTTAAAGTTTTGGCCTATTTGGCTCAATGAAATAGACAATTGCTTCCAAAATGGCTGATGCTAAAGCAGAATGTACCAGTACTGTGGCAGAGAAGGTTAAGCCACCAACTGCAATGCCTGATTCCATATCAGAGAGCTGATGTGAGTCCTGGCTGCTCTGCTCCCAACCAGCTCTCTGCTAATGTGCCAGGAAGGCAGAACAAGATGTCCCAAACACCCCTAGCACACTCACGGGAGACTTGGACAGAATTACTGGCTTCTGGTTTGAGTCTGGTGCAACCCTGGCTGTTGTGGCCATCTGGGGAGTAAACCAGTGGATGGAGGATCTTTCTGTCTTTCCCACTCTTTCTGTCACTCCACCTTTCAAGTAAGCAAAATATACCTTTAAAAACAATTTTTTTCTGTGAAAAACAGACATGTTGACTTGTTAGTACTAGAATGTGATTATATTCAATCAAAGCTTTGGTTACATTCAGTTAACACTGTAACTGGCTAACCAAAGAAAGCATAGTAAATGTTAAAAGTTAACACACAAGTAAGATTCACCTTCTATTTGTGTAAAAACTGACGCTAATCTTGCCTTCTAGAACTTGACTTTTTAAGTTCCTAAAAACACACTGCAGATTTACAAATAAAAAAATTTATTTCACTAAGGCAAGAAAATAAAACATAATGAAATGTTATAGCACTATTCTTAGCAAATAAAGTGAACATAAACCCTGGGGAAATCCTTGTTTATTATGGTTGTTAGCATCACACATGTGAGTAAATCCCTAAGTATTCCACAGAATGTCCAATAAACTAGGGTAATTTTTTTCAAAACTAGAGATTACATTTGTAGCACCATTAATCAGCCCACCATAAAAATGCTGGGGGAAAAGTCCTTTAAACCATTATATTAAAGGTATTGCATTTTACTAATGGAAAAGGAGAAAAGTGCAATAGGATATCACAAGGAGCTTAATAATCAAATTTTCATAAAACCAAACCAAACAAAAACAGTTCCAAAAATCTCTGAGAGCTGATCTTTCAGGGTTCCCGAGGTTAAAAGAGGCAAATTAGAAAGGACTGCAAATGCCAAGCACCCGGCAGCTGCAGTAAGCAGGAGTAAAAAGATGATGGCCAGAAAGACCACCCAGCTGCAACACGTACAACCACTGGCACGGGCAGATGTACCTGTCAGAGTTTGTCGTTCCTTTATGACCTTAAAGATTCACAGTCTGAATCAATTTCCAGTTGACTCAGGCCTAACTATGAATTTGACTAAGCTAAGAAAAGCCTTCTTAAGAGCAAGTAGATCCAGTGTTATAAAAACATCTTTGTGCTGTAGTGCTCATGCTGGTGATGCAAGTGAAATAATGGAGGAAGGGATGGCTCTTGTCCAAAACGTTACGACTTTTGGATAAATTACAGTGCTAGAGTTGCTGATGAATACAGTGTTGCTAAGATCTCCATAATATGAGAATTCACTGTACCCTAGGCCTGATGTAATGCATGTCCAACTGCCTGGCACATGACATGCTTGGCAGACATAAAGCACTGGTGAGCATGTTGGCAGACGTCAGGTTATGAAGCAGCTGCCATAAGAAACATCCTCTACTTTCTTCTTAAACAGCATTTTAGAAAGATCTCCTGACAGCCAAAACTTACTTTAACCAGGATAAACTTTCATGTTCACACCTTTCACTATGGATATTGGTTATAGGAAAGATCACTTTATTAACAAACCATATCCATAACCAGATTTTCCCAAAGTAATGTTTAAAGCATTTGCCATCAAGACTTAGAGGTCACCATTAGGAAGAGTACTTTCCCGTTCTAAGAATGGGGAATACACATTTGGAACTTTACATGAGCAACACTCAATAACTGACACCTTTGCCCACATTTCTTTTGAAATTAAGAAGGGCACCTGAGAAATATTTCAGAAGACAAGAATGAAAAACGAAGATTGTAGCCCAAAAAGGGAATGTGGAGGCATCTACAGGCCTCCTGAAGGCTCCCAGACCCACCTTTTTGCACATACTGATCTGCATGACTGCATAGCTTATGAGGGCTTCCTTCAAGTCACGGTTCTTCTGCTCCTTGAAGCGTTCAATATCAGCCCAGGCATTTTTTACAAATTCTCTGCAATAAAAGGTATTATCATTACTGTTGTGTAAATTAAATAAACAATATATTACACATAGAGCTAACTAGTTCTGATTTTTTTTTAAGATTTCTTTTTTATTTGAGAAGCAGACTTGACAGAGAGAGAGAGAGGAGAGACAGAGAGAGGTCTTCCCATCCCCTGGCCCATTCCTCAAACGGCAGCAATGGCCAGAGCGGGGCTGGTCTACAGATCTGGGTGTAGAAGACGGGAATGAGGAGCTTCTTTCCAGGTCTCCCACGAAGATACAAGGGCCCAAGGACTTGAACCATCCTCTGCTGCTTTCTTAGGTCATGAGCAGGGAGCCTGGAATCAAACTGACACCCACAGAGGATGGTGGCGCTGCAGGTGGCAGATTAGTCTTTGTGCCAGCATGTGAACTGGTTAACTGTCTTACAGAGGAAACAGCTATTGCTTGCATGAGTTATAATTTTTTATTTTCCTAAAAATTTTAATGAGGGAAAAAGTAGGGACTAGGCACTAGGCACGTAGTTGTCTGCATTTTAGCAATTTCCAGTTTGGCATGAGAATACCACCTTTGAGTTCCCTCCATCCAATGGGTAGAGATGACTGCAAACCATTTCACCAACTGAGCAGATGTGGCCCCTGAGTGTCTGGCCAGCGCTGGCCAGCTGGTGATGGCTCACACTCTGCACACAGCTGCTTTACATGACAACTAGAGTTTTAGGATCCTGTTAGGAATTTGTCTTTTTTATCTACTAGGGAAAATTTACTTCAATGTGTTTGGTGGCAGCAGTTTTAAAATGAATAAAAACCACCTCAAAACCAGTGACAGACTCATGGTCAGCCTTAGTCTACTTTGTTTCAGAGGAAAAGAATTGTAAAAATCAGTGATAGCAGATTTCTGAGGACAGCAATTTTAGAAATGATTCTGGAAAACATGCCTAACCCTATGCGAGGTAGGTACGGGCACAAAGACAAAAAAGATAAAGTCACTGAATGTGAAAGACTTCTCATGCAGCCAGGGCCGCAGCCCCAGTACAGGCCTGCCACACTCGAGGAGCGTGAGCCAAGTGCCACATTGGCTGGAGGGAATCCAAGAAGGCATCACCCTGTGGTAGTGTGGGATCTGGGTAGAGGGTGCTCAGGCTTTGCTCAGCAGAGAAGAAGGGACGGAGGGGATGTGCATGGGGAAGAGACATCACAAACAGAGCAGGGAAATAGCACCATGCAGCCGACTGCTGCCTCTCTCCACGACAACTGCTTCTATAACATGAGTTTTGCTAACTCACGTTTCTTAGATGGGCAATCACTGCACTGTAGACAAACAGGCTGTATCCAGGGACACTAAGGAAACTGACCATTGTTATTAAAAATAGAATAATAATAACTTGCCACACAGTCTACAGTCTAACTTTGTTCAACATGTCAGCATCTTTACCTGCCTTCCAGATTTTTGGATTTCAGCTGCTGTTCTCCTTCCTGTATTTGTTCTTCTAGCACCTTTATTCTGGCTTCTCTCTGCTCCGGAGTTTCTTGTCCAAACAGCTTGGTAGTCATTCCCTTCAAAGAGAATGTTCTCACAGTCTAAAAGGAAACATGAATGGATAAACGGTGTGTGACTGCGTGTGTCACAACAGAGCAGCACGCAGCCTCAAAACGGAGGAAATCGTGATACACCCTTCACCTCTAACAGCCTGCGGAACTCTTACCAAGTGACATGTTATCACAAAAGCAAACACTGCCCTTGTGTGACTCCACTCACATCAGGCACTGCGTGTGGTCAAATGAGATGCAAAGCACGGTGGCCGTTGGTGACAGCGGCAAGGGCTTGTGGGGCAGCAGACGGGCGGCTAGGGCTTGTGGGGCAGCAGACGGGCGGCTAGGGCTTGCGGGGCAGCAGACGGGTGGATAGGACTTGCGGGGCAGCAGACGGGTGGATAGGGCTTGCGGGGCAGACACACAGCCTGCTTTGTAAGGTGAAGAGACTACTAGGGACTGGCTGTGCGAATGTGCTACAACTGCTGCTTTAAAAAGTTTGTGCAAAATGGTAAAGATAAATTTTGATGCAAAAAATTAAGATTTTTTTTTTATTTGAAAGATTCAGAAATATGGAAAGATAGACCACTGGTTCACTCCCTGAATCGTCACAGTAGCTGGTGCTAGACTGATTTAAAGCCAGGATCCAGGAGCTTCTGGGATCCTCACATGGAGGCAGGAACCCAAGGACTTGGCCATCTGCTGCTCCTGCTTTCTCAGGCCATTAGCAGGGAGCTGGCAGGGAAGTGGAGCAGCCAGGACAGACTTAAACTGGTGCTCATATTCTCTCCTCCTCTCTGTATATCTGACTTTGCAATAAAAACTAAAAAAATAATTCCTTAAAAAAAAAAAATAGAATTGATGGCTGCCACATGGCGGCCGTGAGCTCCCTGGGCTTTCAGCAAAGCCTCACGCCTGGATCGCACACGGCAGATGGCGCGCGTGGGTGAGCTGCCACCCAGGCGGCCAGGACGTCATTTGGCACTAGGCTTCGCCTGCTGGCCGCCTGGCCAGGGAACTCTGGGAATTCTGAACTTTGTTTGCTGCTTAGATAGCTCCATTTTGAACCCTCAGTGCTTTGTGAACGTGAATCAATCCTAACGATCCCCAATGACAGTTAATCTTCCTCAGACGAACCTGTAATTAATACTGTCTCAAACCATGTGTTGTGCAAAATTGCAATACCTAATATACTGTCAAAACCTTGTGCTACTCAGAAATGGAGCGGGAGAGCAGGGAAGTCTTCCATTTCCTTTGAAGATGTGAGGAAGACTTGTAGTGTAACTATCAGGAGCATAGCAGGTAACCTATTGACAACAGACTCAAAACAGAATTAGACAATGGTAAAAACACAAAGACATACAGGGGGAATCAAAAGAGATCCTAGCAACCTATTAACAGGTGGTCACATGCACAGAGCAGGGGAGGCACCCAGAATGGAGCAAGTGAACAGGAGGAGGCTCGTGTTCCAAACCGGGAGACTCCCAGATCCCCACCAAAGACTGTCAGTACGGGCACCAAGGACTGCAGCCCAACTGCCAAAGAGATCACGGGGAACTGGAATGCCTTCGGAGGCCGAGAACTCAAAGGACATCCCACCCCTCACCTTTTCTCTGGACCTACCACACGGGATGGAAGAAGCCCGAGCCCTTCATCGTGGGACCCAGGGTCATCGAAACAACAGACAGGAACCCTGAATGGTCCTCAGAACCAGAAGAACAGTAAACCTGCTTCAGAATTGGGGAGAGGAGCTTTCTCTAGTCCTTGCTTGGTTCCAACTTTGAGTCCTCACCCTCTCTGCAATGACCATTGGGGTTGCTCCAGAGCCTCCCCTCCAAACACACACACAAGTTAGAATAGCGAGGCAGAGAACAAAAAGGAAAGCCTGATCAGCATAAACTCATGCACACTTCACTAGGGAGGACACGAAGATGAAGTACTCCTCAGCAAGGCATTGAGAATTTCTCTGCATACCCCTCCTAAACTGTCTCGCACCTCAATTGTTGAAATGTCATTGAAATAGTCATAGAATGTGGTTAAGAACTTGCATTTAATCTTAATATATTGCTTACTCAATACTACATCAATTAGTTCCACAAAATTGTATATTGTTGCTGATGTTATGTTGGGGCTTGTAACTCACTGGGATTTTACTTTGTTGGCTCTAACATTGGATCAGAGAGGGTCTCCCCAAGAAGCTGTTGAACTTATCTAGAAGATAAGATGCTGGACTCTATGCTAGATATATGCTCGCAGGAAAGGAATCTCAACTGAACTTGAACTGTGGATACACAATAAGGTGGAGGAATCCACCATGGGGGGAAGAGTGGGGGAGGAGAGGGGGGAAATTCCAGTACCTAAAAAGCTGTATCACATAATGCTATGTAATAAATTAAAAAAAAAATAGAATTTCTGAAACTGGGCCATATGGGTCTGGCGTGGCAACCTACTGGCTGAAGTCCTCATCTTGTGCCTCATGTGCCAGGACACCATGTGGGCACTGGTACATACCCCAGTTGTTTCACTTCCCTTTCAGTACCCTGCTTGTAGCCTGGGAAAGTACCAAAGGATGACCCAAAGCCTTGGGACTCTTCACCCATGTGGGAGACCCATAAGAAGCTCCTGGCTCCTGGCTTCAGACTGGTTCAGCTCCAGCATTTATGGTCACTTGGGAATAAAAGAGTATGGAAGATCTTTGTCTCTCCTTCTCTCCGTAAGACTTTCCAATAAAAATAAATTCATCCATTAACAAATTAAAAAAAAAAAAACAAAATAAAAAAACTGGGCCACAGTTATCATACAGAACAATTCTGATAGAACCTCTTCGGGCTAAACACCAGCATCCCACGTGGGCGCCGATTCATGTCCCGGATGCTCCATTCCCCATCCGACTCCCTGCTTGTGGCCTGGGAAGGCAGTGAAAGATGGCTGTAGCCCTTGGGCTGCCTGCACCCATGCTGGAGACCTGGAAAAGCTCCTGGTCTTGGAGCTGATCCTACACACGGCTTGCTCCGAGCTCGTGCTAGAGATGGGAAGAGAAATACTCACCCCTGTTGCCAGTTCCTCACACTGCTGCTTCTTGGACGCTAGATCCTGAGCAGCCATCTCCAAGTCGTACTGCATGAGCTCGTGCTTCCTGCACACGGCCCTAGGGACACAAACAGTGCCACGGTTTAATGTCTCTTCCTTGTGCCCAGGTTTGAACATGTTAGGACCTTTCAAACACTAAAGAAATTTACAATATAAGCTGAAAAACACCTTACATAGATTTAAAACAGAGACATTTGTTTCTAGATACTTGCAACATAATTTATCAATAAACAGCATTATATAATAAACATAATTTTAATACAAAATGCTGCAAGCTCAAATAGCAACCAAGCATTCTGTAAAGGAATAATGCTGCAAAGTTTGTTTTAAATTTAGAAATATTCATTAGTTTTTATGATAAAAAACATCATCCAGGGACCAGCATGCAGCACAGTGGGTTAGCTAGCCACCTGTGATGCTTCCCATATGAGCGATGGTTCGAGTCCCGGTTGCTCTACTTCGATCCAGCTCCTGCTGAAGTGCCTGAGAAGGCAGGCAGAGGGCCCAAGTGCTTGGAACCCTGCCATCCTCATGACAGACCTAGACAAAGTTCCAGGGATCCTGGCTTTAGTTCAGCCCAGCTCTGGCCATTGTGGCCATTGAAGCAAATCGAAGACTTTTCTGTGTGTGTGTGTGTGTGTTAATTCTACCTTTCAAATTAAAATATATTTAAGATTTATTTTATTTAATTTGAAAGGCAGAGTTACACAGTGAGAGGGAGAGACAGAGAGATCTTTTCCTCTGTTGGTGCATTCCCTTATAGCCACCAAGCCAGAACTGGGCTGGACTAAAGCCAGGAGCCAGAAGTTTCTTCCAGGTTCCACAGGATGAAGTGGCCCAAGCACATGGGCCATCTTCTGTTGCTTTCCAAGGGAGCTGTATTAAAAATGGAACAGTTAGGATCTGAACTGGTGCCAATATAAGATGTCAAATGCAGGCGGCAGCGTTACCCACTAGTCACAGCACTGGCCTCCAATTTTTTTAGATAATCCATGCTTACTGTTAAAAAGAATAACATTCTAATTAAAAATGCACAAAAGAAAGGCCTTGAAGGACCCTCTCCCCAGACTCCATATCCACTCATCATCCACACAGCTGGCCAGTGCATGGTTTTCCAGCATTGAGCTGGCCATTCCAAAAACACACCTCAAATGTTTTCTACCTTCCCTCACTTAGCAACATAAACATTAGTCTTGGTGAAAGTCGCGGAGTGGCCCGTGATTCCAGCGCCAGCAGCCCCTGCCTTCTGCCTGGTGGAGTAAGATGACCTCGGTGGAGCACCTTCCCACTCAGAGCTCTCCAAGCGCTACAAGCAGACATTTCCGCTCCAGTTCCTGAACAGTCTAAGGAAAACTGCACTTCCATTTTCCTTCCTGAGTTGCCACAGCGCTTTTAAAACCGACAGGAAGACAGACCCAAAGCCACTTATCCCAGGAAAATGATTCTTTTAAAAATTTAGCCAGAAAAAAAATGCAGAGATTTTTTCTTCATCAGGAAGACTGTCTTTCAGAGATTTCTGCTTGTCCCTGCAGGAGCGATCGTTAATGGCACCACAAGGCCTAGTGACAGTGCTCAACATGTATTTTGCTTCTAATTTTTACACCAGTAAAAATGGAAAAACCAACATACAGACAGAGCTGATGAGTGAGACCAACACACATGTTTTAAAGGCAGGTTGTGCTCTCCAGTTTTACACCTCTCCCTCTGCAACACAGAAGGCGGCAGCCTCCAGCCTGTACTGCATGGGACAGAGGAAGAGTGTGGTGGGAGCCACACAACTAGCGCTGACAGTCTCATCACACTTACCGCAGAGCTTCTGCATAAAAAAGATATTCTTTCAGCTGATCCGCATAATGTTCCTCATCTTCCAAAATGTCATCGATAGAGGAGGCATATCTGTTTCAAAAGAACGCTGCTTAGATCAACACGGTAAACAAGTGCTTTCGTTACATCTAGGTGACAACGTATAGAAAGTGAGAATTAGCCTTTAGGGACATAGTAATTTGCGTTTAACATGATGTTTTACTAAACTATAACAAAATACTTCAGTCATCGATGACTTAGAAATAAAAAATAATACCCACTTGGTAGCCTAGCAGCTGCAGTCCTAACCTTACAAACGCTGAGATCCTATATGGATGCCAGTTTGTGTCCTGGCTGCTCTACTACCTTTCCAACTCCCTGCTTGTGGCCTGGGAAGGCAGTCAAGGACGGCCCAAAGCCTTGGGATCCTGCACCCGTGTGGGAGACCCGGAAGAAGCTCCTGGCTTCGGATTTGCTCAGCTGTGGCCATTTCAGCCACTTGGGGAGTGAACCAGAGGATGGAAGATCTTTCTCTCTGTATCTCCTCTTTCTGATAAAAATAAATCTTAAAAAAATAAAAAAAAGAAATAACAAAGGAAGAAATGACCTTTACTGGAAGCAGTTTAAGAAGTAATTGGGTAGGGGGAATCCAGTGCCTAAAAAACAGTGTCACATAATGCAATGTAATAAATTAAAAAATAATAATAATAAAAATAAAAAAAGTAACTGGACACTGCAGTATCTTCTATGCAAAGACTTATAAAATGCCATAGCAAGAATAAAGCTTGGCATAATTAATAGACACATGTCCCTGGTAGCAACTACGTTAATTCTCAAAAGCATCAGGTGAAAAAGTAGTGTCAATCAAGATTAAAGAAACCTCTAGAAGTCCTATTTGAAACTGACTGGCACCAGCCTTGTGATCCCGTCAGGATGCTGTGCTCACAGCCACGTCACTCCCACTCCTGCACTGGATCCTGTGTCTGGACAGAAATGCTAGCTCACAGCGCAGCACTTTCCCAATTCCTACATGCACAAATCTGTAAAGCTTTCCAGGGTGCTTCTTTATCACTTTGTAAAAAGATTGGTGGGCCCAGCAGAGTAGCTTAGTGGCTAAAGTCTTAGTCTTGCACAATCCGGGATCCCATATGGGCGCTGTTTCTAGTTCCGGCCGCTCCACTTCCCAACCAACTCCCTGTTTGTGGCCTGGGAAAGCAGTTGAGAACGGCCCAAAGCCTTGGGACCCTGCACCCGCCTGGGAGACCCGGAAGAAGCTCCTGGCTCCTGGCTTCAGACCAGCTGAGCTCCAGCTGTTGCAGCCGCTTGGGGAGTGAATCAACAGACAGAAGATCTCGCTCTCTCTCTCCCCTCCTCTCTGTATATCTGCCTTTCCAATAGAAAAAATAAATAAAATATATCTTACAAAAAGAATAAGAAGACTGGCTTGTTTGTTTGAAAGATGCAGTGACAGAGAATAGGAAAGATGGAGAGAGATCTTCCCTTCACTGGGCCAGCTGAAGTCAAGAGACAAAAACTCCATTCAGGTCTTCCAGGTGGGTGCCAGGGACTCACCTGAGCCACCATTTGCTGGACCCCAGGCACAGTAAGCAGGAAGCTGGATCAAATGTGCAGAATTGGGGACTAAAACCGCTGAACTGAGTGCACCACAATGCCACTTCCTGTCACTCCACCAATTTAGAACTTGAAATGTCATCAGAGTAATGGCTTGTGTGCTTGGATTGATTCACTTATTATAAATTCCATAACATGGGATGTGTGTGATGTACTGCTTTTGCACAGAAGAGGCATCCTCCCTTAAATCAATTCTGATTCCTTAGTGTAGAAATAAAAACATACTTTATGTTTTCAAGTATGTCTCCTCTAGAAGAGGAAACAAAGTTTACTGGTATTATAAAATTAAATGAGAAAAAAAGATTCATTTGAAAAGCAACCTATGGAGCTGGTGCTGTGGCACAGTGCGCTAAGCTGCTTCTTGTGACACCAGCATCCTGTATCACATACTGCCAGCTGGAGCTCTGGCTGCTCAGCTTCTGACCCGGATCCCCGCTCATGCATTGGGAAAGCAGGAGATGGCCTGAGTGCTTGTGCCCTTGCTACCCATGGAGAAGCTCCTGGCTGCGGTTTGGCACAACCCTGGCCACTGTGGCCATTCGAGGAGTAAAGCAGCGGATGCAAGCGCTCCTATACCTGACATGCTACCTTTTAAACAAACAAAACTCTTAGAAAGAAAAAATGCATACACAATTCTTAACTGCAAGATACACTGCATGTACTAGTAAACTTTATCAGAATGAGGAATTTCATCCATGTGGCAGGAAAAGAAGTCTCAGCTCACAGATCTGACTTCAGGAGAGCTCTCTTTGTTCTTGACCTTAGGAGAAAATACCCAAACTTCACCGTGAACGACAGTATGAGCTGCAAATTCTGGACTGAGGAAACTCCCTTTTGTTCCAGGTTTGATGGGGATTGCTACTGTCAAAGAGTACTGAGGTTTGTTACAAACATTTTTCTGCACGATTTTAAATGAACATGCAAGTTTTTGTCTTTATTCTGTTAATTTATGAATAAGGTGGATTTTTAAACAATAAACTAACCTTGCATTCCTGAGATAAAATTTATGTCAGATCTGTACCCAGAGCATAATGTGAATGCCAATAAACTTGCTAAGAACGAGAGATTGCTGAAGGCAGCCATGTGACTGTACATGGGGCTGTGGGCCACCTCCTTGCGGTACTCACACGTCCATGTGATGGCCGGCACTCTGCAGCCCGTCGCCCATCTCTTTTTCTATGGCACTCCACTCACTAGGACCAAAAACAGCAAGAATTAGATACGGAACATTATCAAATGGACTCACACACAATTCTTTTCCAGTTGTTCAATAATGGACAATATATATATTGGGATATATCTTCTGCAGTCCAAATAGACTGTTTTCCCCACTACACTCCCAACTTTAACCAGTAAATGTTAACTGAAAAAAACTTCTCAAATCGACATGTGCTGCTAAGTACAAGTAAGTTTCATAGAAGACAGCTCTGCTTTTGTGTAAGATTCTCAGGGTGTCTACTCAAATCAATCATGGAACTTTAAAAAATATGGAATGGCAGTCCTTCTCTTGATCCCTGGAGACAGAGCCAAGGCCTGTGCACTTTAAAATGTCCATGCATGTTTGCAGTGAGCACACCTAGTTATGTGTGTCTGGGCTAACAGCTAACAGAACAGGGCAACAGTTCGGAACATTTGCTGTACAGAAAGCCTTCATGCGATGCTGCGGCCTGCTGAGTAAGACTACCAGAACCACAGATCATTTCACTGTCATTTCTGTGAAATGTTTTTTATAAGGAACTCTTTTTATGGAAGCTACACATTCTTATTAAAGTAAACTGGGGAAGTAAATCTATAATCCCAAATACCACGAGATGATATGTTTTGCTCTCTCTACATGATTTGCTCTTTTGAGTCTTTTTACTTGCTCATTTTCATGCAACTGAGGCCACATGGCATGGGCAGTTTCTGTTGTAAACATTTTTTTCAAATGACAACTCAGAATCGTTCTCTAGCCTTACACTGTGTTCAATAAGCATTTTCAACAAACTGTAAAAGAAAAAAGCCATGGAACTCTTAAACAGGCAAGACTCCCTCCAATAATTTCCTTTCCTCAAAAATGTTTACTCAACGAGCAGCAGTTAAGTTGCTGTTATTCACAAAATGGCTTTTTAACATTCCCGACTCTAGCTCCAAGACCTCATTTCTATGCCTATAAGGCGATTCTGCTTTTATGTGCCTCTCATGCTTCAAATAAAACAAATCCAAAGCCCAATTCCTTGTATGAAAAATGAAATTGAGAGCTCTTGATAAGAACTCAAACGGTCACAGTTAATATAACCATAGGTCCTCCTAAAGGACTCGCACAGTGGCCAGCTTATGCCATGTGTCTGTCTAGTGCAGGCCCCACAGGTACTACATCATCTGCTGTTCAAGCATATTATTTACCATCTCAAGCTAACCAAGACCAGATGCAATTCCTTGATTCCTACGTAAGTCTAACAATGAGTGCAAGGAAGGGGGATTTGAGCATCTTTATTCCAGCTGAATAGTTTAATGACTCACGAATGCTTAGCAAATATAGTTTGTCAACTAAGTCAGTAAATGAATTATTAATTGTGAGGCAGCAAACACGGGCGGGATCTATGTACAGCCTCAGAACTGTGGCCAAAAGATGTAAGACCTCTGTCTCTTTCCCATCTCTCTGAATTCTGCCTTCTATACGAATTAATAAACTTAAAGAAAAAAAGGTGTTCAGGGTTCTGGTACTGTGGTGCAGCAGCTTAAACCTCCACCTGCAGCACTGGCATCCCATATGATGCTGGTTCAAGTTCTGGCTGCTCTACTGCCCATCTAGCTCCACACTCACCGATGGACCAGGATGAAGTCTTTGGCTCCTGGCTTTGTGGCCATTTGGGGAGTGAGCCAACAGATGGAAGGTCTTTTCAGTCTCTGTAACCTGCCTTTCAAATAAATAAATCTTTATTTTTTTAAAAAAGAAGTGGTCAGTGCTTACCTGAAAACTCGCCCATAATTCCCATGCACTTTATATACACCATAAAGTCGATCTGCTACTCTCTGAAATAAACAATAAAAATTGCTATCAGGTCAAATTATATGCCAATTAAATTTTTAAGAAAATTATGTTACTAGAATCAGCAAAACAAAAACAAAAACAAAAATCCATGCTTAATGAATGCGAAAAAGAAAAAAAAAATACCCCCAGAAAAGTTACAGAAAAAGCAAGTTCCATTTTTCCATATTTACATCAAATACTAACAAATTTCTTTTTACACAGTTTTTAATTATTGTTTTGAGGTTTCCTACAGCCGAGAACAGTAATATTTCTTCTCAGTAGTTTACTGTTATCCTTAATAAACACCGCTTTAAACAGTCACATAAAATTTCACTGGGTTGTTATAAAATCCACAAACACTCCTCACTGGGTATTTAGTTACTCTGATGAAGTGACTGCATCTAAATATATCATCAGGTGATAAGAGAGAAGATGCAGCTAAGAAAAGCTATGAACTACAGAGCAAAAGTCTCATTTCTAGAGAAAAGGAAAGGCCCAAATGGCAGAAGGGTAAAACACAAATGATTAAAACCTAAAATCAGACTGATTCAAGGTTTGTAATTCAGAACCCTGGTGTCAGAGCTGGCACTGTGGTGAAGCAGGCATCCCACAGCCAAGTGCCAGCTCAAGCTCTAGCTGTTATGCTTCTGACCCGGCTCCCTGCCTCGCTGCCAATGCTCCTGGGAAAGCAGCAGGAGACGGCCTAATTCCCTGGACTCCTGCAACGCACGAACAAGATGAGGCCCAAACCTGGCTGCTGTAGCCACTGAAGAGAGTACACAAAACACCTGTATGTGTGTCACTCTGACTTTAAAATAAAGAAAGATTTAAAGAAAAAAAAAAAAAGGAAAAAAGAATCCAGGTGACAGGGAAAGGTGACTGTATAGAATTCTGATATAGAATTTCATTTCTTTTGAGAGGTCCTTCTATTTCAAAACTGATCATCAGGCAACCATTTTGGGAGGACACTGGACACACCCCCTGACACCAGAGGGAATCTGACAGCAGTTCTCTTTCTTCTGGAACTGAGAATGCACTCTCTCCTCACTACAACCCAAGCTAGTCAAGGAAGAGAGGGACAAAGTTGTATGACATGCCACTAAAAAGTTATTTTAAAAATCTGGATATGCATTTTCCCCTTGATTCTTCTGAGTGAGATTATAAGATTTGAGACTCCTGGTACTATTTGCCACCACAGACTACACGGGAGCTGGGACACCTCACTATTTCCCCAACACTGGATATCCTTTACAGGTGACCACAAGTAAAAGGCTAACCATCGTCTCAGAGTCATGCTCACGTTTACAATGTCAGCAAGGCTAAACACTTGCTTCCTCCCTTCACTCTTGGTATCCTCTAGAGGCGGCACAGGGTAGCAAGAAGTAAGGAACGTGAACTCAGACAAATATGAGTTCAAATTTCCACCTCCTTCTTAGGTTACAATTTGGTTTTGGAGAATTCACCATGCTACCCCAAGCCTTGGTATTGCATCTTTCTTTTGGAGATGTGGGAATGATCTTCCTCACAGGACTTTGTGAAGACTGGATGCCTGCAAGGTTCCTGGCCACCAGCAGGGGGCGGCTCAGGGACTATCAGATCCTCTTCCTCATCTCCCTATATGAATCCACACTCCTTGTCAACCTGTCATGTTTAAGAGAGTTAAGAAATAGAATTCAGGGGCAGGTCCTGTGGCATGGCACATAAAGCTGCCGCCTGTGGCAATGGCATGTCATATGCAGGCAGTCTGAGTCCTGGCTGCTCCATTTCTAACCCAGCTCCAGGCTAATGCACCTGGGAAAGGCAGCCGAAGACGGCCCAAGTGCTTGCGCCCTGCACGCACATGTGAGACCTGGATGAAGCTCGGGCTTCAGGTGGGCCCAGCTCCAACTGTCGCTATTATTTGGGGGAGTGAACCACAGGGTGATTCACTGTAACTCTGCCTCTTAAATAAACAAATGAAAGAAGGAAGGGAGGGAGGAAACAAGCAAGCAAGAAAACAAGAAAGAAAAGGAATCCAGAATCACTTGTCATGTTTAAGATCTGGCTCCACACCCATGTATTAAATGAGTCATTGGCCTCTGGTTTCCTACCCTGAAAACAGGGGCTGCTACGGAAATCAGGTGAGAAAATACTTCCAGCTGCCAGGCAGATTTCCATCAGAGAACACCCTGAACAATCGCCAGCTCTGCTTGAAGGACCTGACAAGTGGCAGAGACAGGTTTTAAACTCACCTCTTCCTCCTCTAAGGCCATCTGCCTTTTCTGACTGCTGTTTTTCCTTTTGATTGTTACCTTCACTTACTACACACCCAACTCTAACTCATCTGTAATTTTCTCTCGGCTTTTTTGTTTTGTTTTCCTAGCATCAAAGGAATTATCTTGGACAGAAAAGATAAACACGTGACTGTTTCCGCATGATCTGTTAACAAAATGTCATTTGCCTCAAACACTTGCAATCTTCTCTTGACTGTGTGACATTCTGAAATGAAAGGCCTTCCTGGGGTATAGTTTTGCCACTGTGTGCTGTCAGCAGGGGACTTTCACCTTTCAATTATACTTCATATCACTTCATTGTTACTATCTAAATGGCCTTCTCCTAATTTGAAAAGACCGAGTTTAGGAGACAGTGCAGTAGCACAGCACGCTAATCCTCCATCTTATGGCACCAGTATCTCTTACGAGCTGTGATTCATGTCCTGACTGTCCTGACTGCTCCTCGTCTGATCTAGTTCTCTGCTTGTGGCCTGGGAAAGCAGTGAAGGATGACTCAAGTCCTTGGGACCCTGCACCCACACGGGAGACCCAGAAGAGGCTCCTGGCTCCCAACTGGTTCAGCTCCAACCATTGTGGCCATTTAGGGAGTGAAATAGCAGATAGAAGACCAGTAATGTCGCTCTTCCGCACCCCTCCACCCTGTTGCTGCTTGATCGGCAAGGTGCTGACGGAGGGAAAGCAGGTGGAGGGGGTGGGAGGAAACCAGGGATTTGGCAGTAAGAAAATCAAGTGTCTACATCTGTGGAAGTCACCACCATGATTGGAGATAAGTAATGGCTGAGTGCATAAACAACATCAGACAGTACTGCTACCAAGACAACAGTAATACAAGATGCCAGAAGATTACATTAGCATTTCTAAAATGTTTCTTTTGAGAGGCAAGAAGAGAGAGATCTCGTCCACTTATTCAGTAAGACTGAAGGTGGGAAATGGGAACTGAGCCCAGGGCTCCCCTGTGTAAGGGAGGGCTCTAACCACCTAAGCCATCACTGCTGCCTCCCAGTGCCTGCCACGGCAGGAAGTGACTCAGCAGCCCGGGCCAAGGACGGACCCCAAGCACTGATACAGAATGAGGGCTTCTTAGCTGCGCTGAAGTGGTCTTTGCTATGTGACACTTCCAGAAAGATTTCACTAAGAAAGGGCTTGAGCTGAGATCTGAATAGAGAGAGAGACCAGGTCTGAGAAAGCAGTGAGGGTTGGGAGGGATGGGACAAGCATGGGAAGTGTATCCCCTAAAACCGTCCCACCCTCTACCCCTCATTGACTCTTTCATTAAGGAAAATGCCAGACCAATTCTCTCTTTTGCTATTTTGAAAACCAAGAAAACACATCACACATCAAAATTCACGTTCTGGAGCTGAGATAAAGCTAAAATTTGTTATCATAAAAAACTAGTTTAAAAACAAAAAAGGGAAAAAATTATTATACCAAAAACCTCAGCATATAGCCATAGATTTCTGGCTTGTAATCATAAAACTTATATTAAAGCAAATACCAGATCATATACTTCATTTCAGGAGGATTCCAGTATTAAAAGTCACCCCAGACCTGGCAGCACAGTTTGTTTCAAAGTCGGTTTGCAGGCAAGTTTTAAAGTTCCCCAGGAGCAGAAGAACCAGGTGATTTGACTTTGAAATATGTGACTAAGGTGTCATACATGTACATTTGCATGGATAGTGTGCTATTTAAATATATGTATACAGTATAAAATGGCTAATCAGGTAATTACAATAATTAGCATTTCCAGATCCTTTTCTTTCTTCTTTTTTTTAAACATTTATCTATTTTTATTGGAAGGGCAGATTTACAGGAGAGAAGGGGAGACAGAAAAACATTTCGTCCGCTGGCTCACTCCCCAAGAGGCTGCGATGGCTGGAGCTGAGCCCATCTGAAGCCAGGAGCCAGGAGCTTCCTCTGGGTCTCCCATGCAGGGGCAGGGCCCCAAGGCTTTGGGCCGTCCTCGACTGCTTTCCCAGACCACAAGCAGGGAGCTGGATGGGAAGTGGGGCAGCTGGAACATAAATCCCTGCCCACGTAGAACCCCAGTGCATGTAAGGCCACTAAGCCATCATGCTGGACCCTCTAGTTCCTTTTCTTAATGTTTGTACCTGTAAGTTCTTATTTTCCAGTTCTTCATATAAATTATTGTAAATTATGGTCAGGCCACTCTGCTTCAAATAGCATGAACTACATCACTATGAACTGCAGTCACCCAACACTCAAACCTCTATAACTGTTCTGGATCACCTTCCTCTAACAATACAGTATGAATAATCGAATATTAAAATTTTGAATGTAAAACCAGGTATTCATCACAAATACCAACCATTACTTAAAAATATCATGATCACATGAGAGGTGTCACAACGCTCTTGGGCACCACTTACAGCTCTGACTCGGAGCACATGTGAAATGACAGACTGCAGCTCGTCACTGTAGTGCTTTAGTTCAGTAAATCTCCTAGAACAGAAAAACAAACATTTTTCTCATGAAAGCAAGCAGTTAAGAGCAGAAAGATAAAACCGAGTTCCTGATAATAAAGTGATTTCATTTAATCACATGCTGTGACCTAGAACACTTACATACCAGTCTAAAGTAAAAAAAAAAAAAAAAAGTCTAAAATAAAATGATTCTCTCTTTTGCAAACCAAGGAAAGATGTCAAAATTTCAAAATTTACATCCTGGGACTGAGATAAAGCTAGAATATGTTAATATGAAAAGCTACTTTGAAAACAAAAAAGGAGGAAAAAAATTATTGTACGAAAAATCTTACATTGTAGCCATAAATTCCTGGCTTCTGAGTAATACTGTTCGGTAACTTTTGTTTCCCTAATCCACAGTGCCCCTTTCCTTAGAACTCTGAAACTTACAAGCCATCCATCACCTGTCACCTTCCAAACAAGAATTCAAGCAGAAACCTTCAGCTGAGAACCACCTCCTCAATCAGCTCATACACGTCCTCCTGTCTACATCATTGGGAGTCTATGCCTGCTATACTCCATATTTTTATTCACTAATTTTCCCTCTCATTATGAGCTTCTTCTCATTAGTACAAAAAATAACCCATCCACTTCCTTGACAATATACCTAACTTTAAAACCAAGCATTAACACCCACTAATAATGACTTCTCTTCCCTTCCCATTCACTGACTGGCATACTAGAATCCAGCATCTGCCAACAGCACTAGAGTAGAGGAGTATTTCTGACAAGTTACCAAGTATTTTCACCTCATTAATATGTAATGCTCTATTTCAGCCCTCCTCTGACTTAACGCTCTTGATGGTGTGACAGCTGACATGCTTCCTCCACCCCAGCCATTTGTTCTCTTAACATGATTGTCTTCTCATCATTCCTGGAGGACTAGTTCTCACTTCTTTCATCCATGTCTTACACTGCTAACTTCAGTGTTGCAAAGAAGCTGTGTGAACTACTGCGGGTCTCTGAGTAGGAGAGAATGCAAATAACCACAAGGACGCAGAGACACCCCCTTCCAGGGACACAGCAGTGGGAACTTACAACCTGCTTACCCACAGGCCTAGAACAACTGTACTCCTCTGGTCTCATCATTGAAAGTGTTGACATTCTTCAAGCTCAACAATTAGATTCTCACCCGCCTGCAAATCAGTCTCCTGGTCTATACATTCCTTATGTGGCTGTCATTCATAACACTTAACACTTAGGATGTACATGTTGCAGAATTTCAAGTTTCTACTTTTGGCCCAAATCCCTCTTCCATAGTTCAAACCTATATAGAGAAGTGATTAACAGACATTTATACTTGCTGACATATCAAGGGCTTAATGTGTCATGCTCGATCCACTCCCCCTCCTCATCTAAATTGTGCTAATGGGCTCCTTAGTAGGCTAAATAATGAAGCTTCAGCGTCATCTCGTTTCTTACCCCACTCCGGCACCCCTACATTCCACTAACCACCCAGCTGGCCAATTCCACCTCTGGAACATTGCCTAGATGCACTCACTTGCCTTGGTGTGCAGCCAACAACCTGGATGCAGATAAGCATCATTACCTTTCACCTGCTAGTTCACTCAGCCCCAGGTCACTCTAACTTGCTGCCCTCTTGGCTCAGACGACCTCCCAAAAGCTCAAAGCTGCACTGCTCCCCTGCTTTTAGTCAGATTTCTTCATGAAACACAGGTTAATCACTGATCCTGCGAAAGAGTCCAGACCCCTTAACATGGCTTACAGAACTCTTCACAGACCATACAGATGTAGTAACTGTCATTCATCTAAACAAAGAGGCGGCTGGCAAAGCTGAGGGCATCTGATCATGATAAAATACTTTATGTTCAACATTCTTACTCCACTCTAGGCAGTATTCTTCAGCTAAAAAAAAAAATAATAATAATCCAAGGAGCAAGATTGGCACGTCATTTGATGGAGGGCAAAGCCATGTCTGCTCTTCCTTTTTACATCTCAGGTGGAAAACAGAATGTGCTCTTAGTGGTTTTTATTTTTATTTATTTTTTTTTTTTTTTTGCATTTCTGGTATAAAACTCTCAAAGGGGGCCGGCACTGTAGGATGGTGTGTAAAGCCGCTGCTCACGGTGCTGTCATCCCATATTGTCACCGATTCATGTCTCAGCGGCTCTACTTCCAATGCAGCTCCCTGTTAATGTGCCTGGGAGGGCAGCAGAAGATGTCCTGAGTGCTTGGGTTCCAGTACCCACGTCAGAGCCCTAGAAGCAGCTCCTAGCGCAGGGCTTCAGACAAGCCCAATTCCAACCACTGCAGCCATTTGGGGAGTGAACCAATAGATGGAAGATCTCTTTGCTTTTCTCTCTCCCTCCATCTGTAACTCTGCCTTTAAAATAAACAAATCTTAAAAAATAAAATGGCCAACTCTGAAGGGATATGAAACTAAGAAGTTAATGTGAGAAGGAGTAAGAACAGACTGTGGACTCTTAAGTATCTATTGATTCATATACATCCTTTAACTACAGCCAATTAGAATTGAGTTGAAATAATTTTCAGCAGAACCTAAGATTTTGGGGCTGGCACCATGCTGTAGCAAATTAATCCTCTACCTGCAATATCACAGCATCCAATATGGGTTTTAGTTTTGAATCCTGGCTGCTCCACTTTTTTTTAAGATTTATTTATTTTTTGGCCTGGCACGATAGTGTAGCATAGCGGCTAAAGTCCTCGCCTTGCACATGCCAGGATCCCATATGGGCACCAGTTCTAATCCTGGAAGCTGTGCTTCCCATCCAGCTCCTGCTTGTGGCCTGGGAAAGCAGTCGAGGACGGCCCAAAGCTTTGGGACCCTGCACCCACGTGGGAGACCTGGAAGAGGTTTCTGGCTTCGAACTGGCTCAGCTCCCGCCATTGTGGCCGCTTGGGGAGTGAATCAGACGGAAGAGCTTCCTCTCTGTTTCTCTCTCTGTATAAACCTGCCTTTCCAATAAAAATAAATAAATTAAAAACTTTATTTATTTTTATTGGAAAGTAAAATATACAGAGAGGAGAGATAGAAACTGCTCCACTTTCGAATCAGCTCCCAGCTAATGCGCCTGGGAAGGCTGTGGAAGACTGACTCAGTGTTTGAGCCTCTCACCCACATGGGAGACCCAGAATAAGTTCCTGGGTTCAGACTGGCTCAGCTCATTACTGCATCCATTTGGGGAGAAAACAAGCAAATGGAAGATTTCTCTCTATCCCCAGCAGATAGGTTTCAGTCTCTCTGTAATTCTGCTACCATTAAAATAAATTTTTTAAAGGTTATTTTTAACAAAAAAGAAATTAAGGTTTGAATTCAAGTGTTGGGCCCAGTGCAGTGGCCTAGCGGCAAAGGTCCTCACCTTGAATGCCCCAGGATCCCATATGGGCGCCAGCGGGTTCTAATCCTGGCGACCTGCTTCCCATCCAGCTCCCTGCTTGTGGTCTGGGAAAGCAGTCGAGGACGGCCCAAAGCCTTGGGACCCTGCACCCACATGGGAGACCTGAAGGAAGCTCCTGGATCCTGGCTTTGGAATGGCTCAGCTCCAGCCGGTGTGATCACTTAGGAAGTGAATCATTGGATAGAGGATCTTCCTCTCTGTCTCTCCTACTCTCTGTATATCTGACTTTGCAATAAAAATAAATAGATCTTTTTTTAAAAAAATGAATTTCAGTGTCAGGAGCCAGACAGTTCCTTCAATCCTATCTCCCCTGATCAGAGCTTCCTCTGCTGGGGCTCAGGGAGAAGAAATTCTCTAAGGTCACGGAGCATCTCCAGACTTGATCAGATTTCCTAAGTACCTTTCCCAATTTTTGAGCTGGCATAACTATAACTTCTTAGTTGCACATTAGGTAATAAGAGAATGTGTAAGAATATAATCAGTAAGACTCAAGAACACTTAAACTAGGAGAACAGAGGCTCCTGGAGCTGAAAGCAAAGGTCCATTCTGGTGGAAGAATGTGTAAGGCACATAACAGCTTCTGAATGTGATTAACAGAATGGCACAATCTGCAACATGTGTGTGTACTTGTCCTGGGCCAGCAGGCATACATATCCCCAGTGATCACATCACCAGGAAGCCATGGATAAAAGTTTCTAAGTAGGTGACAGACAAAATGTGCACCTTTGGAAAAAATCATGGATACAGGAAAATCAGAAGATCTAAAGGTGAAGGCTGAAACTTCATCAAGTTTTAGATGACAATGTGTATTTCACAGAATGAAGGAATTAATTTTCCTGTAAATAAGAGTCTTAAGTTCTTTGCCCAAGTCAGGAACTAGTAATATCTGCACACTAAAGTAAGGAACCCCGGAGGACCTTCAGCACAGCAGTTAAGCCACAGGTGGAGACACATGTGTCCCATTTTCTCAGTGCTGGGGCAATGCCTGCCTCTCACTCTTAACTACAGCTGCCTGCTACTGGAGACCCTACAAGGCAGCAGTGATGGCTCCAGGCATGGGAGATATGGACTCAGCTTCAAGTTTTTAGCTTGGCTTGATCCGGTCCCAGCCATTCAGAACATCATCATTGGGAAATGAGCCAACAGATCCAAGAACTAGTTGTCTATCTGGTAATAAAATCTACCCCCACCAAAAAAGATGAGATATCCTTTGATAAAGAGTACAAATCATGTAAAATCTCAAAATGATGTAATTCCACTTAACAGGATGGAGTTAAAAAAGAGACTTCAAACTGAAATGCTTACGTAAGACTTCTCTCTTGAATTTTCATGTATCTTAAATGCCTGCTTTTGAGACATAAAAATCAACATGTAAATGCAGATTCCGATGAGACTACAAGTTTGAGATTGTCTACCCCTAACCTATGGCAGGGCCTCACCTTACACGTATGTTCTGTTCTTAAGACAATCTTAACACTACAGGATCTGTGCTTCACCTTATTCTCCATTCTCTACATACTTGTAGTTATTTCTCCTAAGCTTGAAGTGGTACCTCTCCTAATCAGATCAGAGTTTGTCCAGGCTTGCTTTGCACTTAAACAAAGTTTTTAACTTTAATTTTAATAAATTTTTAAGGTTTAATTTATTTGTAAGGCAGGGTAACGATGAGGGAGCTATGGAGACCAACTCACTCGCTCTCTCTTTCTCCCTCTCCCTTATTTTTATTGGAAAGGCAGATATACAGAGAGAAGGAGAGACAGAGAGATCTTCCATCTGCTGGTTCACTCCCCAATTGGCCACAATGGCAGAGCTGAGCTGATCCAAAGCCAGAAGCCAGGAGCTTCCTCTGTGTCTCCCAAGTGGGTGTAGGGTTTCAAGATCTTGGGCATCCTCTTCTGCTTCCCCAGGCCATAAGCAGGGAGCTTGGTGGGTACTGAAGAGACTAGAACACCAACTGTCTCATAGGTGCCCATATGAGATCCCGGCACTTGCAAGGTGAGGATTTAGCTATTGAGCCTTTGCTCCAGGCCCAGCCTGATCTTCTGTTTGCCAATTTAATCCCTCTCTTTGAAATGCCTGCAACAGCTGAGGCTGGGCCAGGCTGAAGCCAAAAGGAATGAATTCTATCCTCTTGTCCCACATTGGTAATAGGAACCAAGTACTTGAGATAGTATCTGCTGCCTCCCAGGTGCATTAGCAGGAAGTCAGATGGGAAGCACAGGTGGGACTCAAGCCCAGGCACTCTGAGGTGGAACGTAAGCATCACAAGCAGAAGTTCACTGTGCTGTGTCACAACATCCATCCCAAGACTTGTCTTGACAATAACCTCCATCAAGGCTATTACTAACTAATGTCTCTCTCCAACCTCAAAGCTGAATACTTCAAACAAAAAACTGGAATCTAATTGTTGTCTATTTCATATCACTCTCTTCTTTTCACATGGCTTTACTTTTTTCTACTGTACTACACTGAAAGTATTTTTTAAATTTTATTGGAAAGACGTAGAGAAAAGAGACAGAAGTATCTTCCATCCACTGGTTCAATCAGCTGGAGCTGAGCCAATCCAAAGGCAGAAGCCAGGAGCTTCTTCCTGGTTTCCCACATAGATTCAAGGTCCCAAGGCTTTGGGCAGTCTTGGATTGCTTTCCCAGGACACAAGCAAGGGGCTAGATGGCAAGTGGAACAGATGGGAACTGGCCCCCATATGGGATCCTGGTGCTTGCAGGTGGAGGATTAGCCAGTTGAGCCATTGTGTTGGCCCTACACTGGGAGTATTTCCAGCTCTACAGCTTTTGCACCTGTATAACCAGCTATTATCTGAGCATAAACCCAGAGGAAAAACAATACCATAAGCCCTGGTAGTCCGTGTGACTGTTAGAATACATCACTCTTCTCTCTACCCTCATCTTCTCTGGTTTCAAAATTTCCAGTTCCTGCCTCCCTATCCTTCTGAATGTTTTTACCATGGTGCCTTTTGAGAGTACTGAAAAAGCTCACTATAAATTCCTTCTCTCTTGGGGCTAGCACAATGGCTTAGCATACTAATCCTTGCCCTGCAGCATCAGCATACCAGCTGCTCCACTTCTCATCCAGCTATCTGCTTATGTCCTGGGAAAACAGTGGGAGGACAGCCCAAGTCCTTGGGCCCAGGAACCCATATAGGAGACCTGCAAGGAATTCTGGCTCCCAGCTTTAGAGCAGCTCAGCTCTGATTTTTGTGGTAATTTAGGGAGTGAATCTATCTGTCCTCTGTTAAAAAAAATTTGCCTTTCAAAATAAAAATAAATGAATCTTTAAAAAAAGTCTTCTTGGGCCCAGCACAGTGGTGCAGTGGTTAAGGTACTCGCCTTGCACGCCCAGGATCCCATATGGGCACTGGTTCTAATCCCGGCAGCCCCGCTTCCCATCCAGCTCCCTGTTGTGGCCCGGGAAAGCAGTGACGACGGCACAAAGCTTTGGGACCCTGCACCCGCGTGGGAGACCTGGAAGAGACTTCTGGCTTCGGATCGGCATAGTATCGGCCGTTGCGCTCACTTGGGGAGTGAATCATTGGACGGAAGATCTTCCTCTCTGTCTCTCCTCTCTGTATACCCGCCTTTCCAATAAACATGAAAATAAATCTTTAAAAAAAAAAGTCTTCTGGGCCCGGCGCGGTGGCACAAGTGGTTAAGTCCTCACCTTGCACGCCCGGGATCCCATATGGGCGCCGGTTCTAATCCCGGCAGCCCCGCTTCCCTTCCAGCTCCCTGCCTGTGGCCTGGGAAAGCAGTCGAGGACGGCCCAAAGCTTTGGGACCCTGCACCCGCGTGGGAGACCCGGAGGAGGCTCCTGGCTTCGGATCGGCATAGTATCGGCCGTTGCGGCTCACTTGGGGAGTGAATCATCGGACAGAAGATCTTCCTCTCTGTATTTCCTCTCTGTATATCCGCTTTTCCAATAAAAAAAAAAAAAAAAAAAAAAGTCTTCTCAGTCCTGGCGACGTGGCCTAGCAGCTAAAGTCCTCGCCTTGAACACATCGGGATCCCATAATGGGCACCGATTCTAATCCCGGCACCTCCACTTCCCATCCAGCTCCCTGCTTGTGGCCTGGGAGGGCAGTTGAGGACGGCCCAAAGCTTTGGGACCCTGCTCCTACGTGGGAGACCTGGAAGAGGTTCCTGGTTCCTGGCTTCGGACTGGCACAGTGCCAGGCGTTGCAGTACCGGCCATTGCACTCACTTAGGGAGTGAATCATTGAACAGAGGATCTTCTTCTCTGTCTCTCCTCTCTCTGTATATCTGACTTAGTAATAAAAATAAATAAATCTTTTTTAAAAAAATTTAAAAAAGGACAAGATGTTAAAAAAAAGTCTTCTCTTCATCCATACTTCTAGCATAGCAAACTGACATAAGCAGACAATTCAGAATTCCCTCATAAAATCATAATCTTAACTGCCTAAGTAACCTGGCTTTCTTATAAAAGAAGAAAACCATTGTTTTATATACAATTTAACATCTAATGTGAGATTCATATGTATGATGCTATAATGGTGAACAGATACTATTTTCCATTTGTCCAGACACTACACCAAGAATGGCCGCTGTTATAAACGATGGACTTTGAGTAATAATGCTGTGCTCAATGCAACTCGGCGCAACAAACTCAGCACGGTGGGGGGGGGGATGGCAGGAGGGGAGACAGTAAGAGAACTCTGTACTTTGCTCTCAAGTTGTCTATGAGCTTTACTAAAACAACTTCAAAAAGCAAAGTCTACTAGACAGAAAAAAAAATAAAGCTTTCAACTTACTATTATCAAAACTTTAAATATTCAAAATATTCATATTCAAATTTCATGTTAAAATAGAGGCACTGTAATTAATGTTCTGTTATGTAAAGTCAGACACAATAGGACATCAGATAATAAAACGGAGCTGTTGTCTGATAAGAATGTACACTGTGTAGAAACCAACACCTAAGGACTCCCCGCAGGCATCCTAACAGAGTTGAAAAGCATGGCAAAGTGAGCCTGGCTCTGATGGACCAAGTTGCAGGTGCGCAGAGGAGACGTGAATTAGCCCACATTCAGAGAAGGCGCAGAAGCACAAACTTAAATACCTGGGTCCTGTGCCTCAGCAAAGTCACTTCTGAATACACTGGCATCCTTGAATACAGAAAAGCTCTCCCAAACACCAACCTGATACTAGCAAGTCAAATGTTGTCAGACAAATCTACCTCCATTAAATCATTAGGCTAGTATGCATTATCTATCAAGTTTATGGCATACAAAGAACATTGTTGATTATGAAATACATAAGTACATAATTTTCATCTAGCGCTCTGTGTATATTTTACAGGCAAAGTCATACAAGGAAAACGATGCAATTAAAATTGTCATTTTTCTGACACTCTCAGCATTTAATAAATCCTTCTAGCAGTGCTTTCATTTTTGAAAACTTCAGTTATTTACAACTTCAAATTCAGTTAAGCTAACAAGTTTCCAAATCAGTTTTAGACTTTAAAAAGGACTTTCATCAGACATGAATTACTATTTAAAATACTATGCAAATAAATTGCACACATTCAGAAATGAAAAATGAAATAGATAGGAACCATTCAAAACAACATAGGAACTGTTATTAAAACAAAACCTTACTTGTCTGGGTTTTTCACTCTGAATGTTGCATTAAGCGCTTTTAACCTGGAGTCTGCCTGGAAAAAATAATTTATTTACTTAATACAATTACATTGGCGGGTATAAAATTCAAACAGTTTTACTGTCCCTTTAGAATTAAGATGTTCAAGTAGAGTTTTCATCATAACACATTAAATATCCCTAAAAATAGTTTAGGGGTTATCTTTGAGACTACTACTAATAAACGAGCCTGAATACATGACATTCGCTGATACCAAAAAAGAAAAAGAAAAAACTATAAACATATGGCATATGGCTTCTGCACTGTTATAATTCAGAACAGGTCATGTGGAAAAAGCAGTTCAAGAAAAACAACGGTCTAAACTAAATAAGTGGAACTAAACTAACTGGGCACTCCTGCAAGCAGTTCTCAGAATTCAAGCCAGATGTACACTGAGTTTTCTCATTTTCATAATCAGCATTTTAGGGAGAAATAAACAAATATGAGAACACATGCAGCAGAGAAGTGGAGCCAAATGACATCAAGTTACTTTTTAGCTAGAAGAAAATGTTACAAAACACAACTTGTTAACTATCTTTACTTATAACTGTTCCTAAAAAAACAGAGGGAAAGACACTAAATAATCTTATAAATGCATGGACTATGCATTTAAATACCCAGATTTTACCCTAAGTACTCATTAAAAAAAATCTTTTCTGACCAAGGCAGAGACACAATAGAGTTTATATAAAGTAGCTTAATCACAAATCAACCTCAACTTCAAAATGTCCTTTGATTTTAAAAACCTCAATCACCTTGAAAACTTCTCAGTGATCTACCCGCTAATGCAGTTACAAAAACTCTTTAATATAACAGAACAAAAACATTCCCAGGGCTTCCCATGTTACTTGACTAAGAAAAACAAATATGACAATATCAACAGTCCCAGCATCCCTGAACCGCAGACCAGCAGATCCACAGTTATCTAAAGCTCAACTTGTCGCTGGTTTCAGGGTCCTCTCATTCCAAAATCATCTTTTTACCAATTCTTGGTCTGTCTTAACATCTCATGGGCAAATGAGTTCATTTGAAAGTCCCTACAAACACCAATACCTATAAACTTGATGCATTTAGCAAAAAACACTACAGGGGGTGGGGGTCTCATAGCTCAGCAAGTTAAGCAGTGCTTCAGACGTGTACACCGCAGGTCAGCACACTTGGGGTGCAGCCCCCCAGAAGGCAGCAGATGATGACCTGGGACTTGGGAGGGCTTGATGGTGTCCACAGACCCAAGTACATCAGGGAACATCAGGGGTGAGGCAGGAGACGGAAGATCTCTTATATCTTTCTTTATCACTCTCTTTCAAATAAAGAAGTCAATAAACCTTTTAAAACTCACTACATATCAAAGGAGCTCAACAAATTTCAATGTCCAGTCATATACAGAAGTGATTCTTTAAAGTCAAATTACATAAACACTATAAGAAAAACGTCATCTTTCCTTGAATCTTGTGTATTTTAGTACCACCAAACTTATTTTTCATGCTGACCTTTGCTGACAGAACACTGTTCAGGTTAGGTGCATCCCGGCACCCTACTCATTTTGCCAGCTGTTTCACAAGCCTCACGAATTTGGGAATTGTCTAAAACACAACCAAAAAAGTCTCCCCCAGGCTGGATCTCTGAAAAATTAACTGGACTGCTCCAATCTGTACAGACTTACCCAGTGAGCACCTGAAAGTGCCCCAATGCGTTATGCTTCATACAAACTTCTACTCCATCTAAAAGAGCATTATCTGAAATCAGTTTGTTTCTTGGCTTAACTTCAAACTCTAAGACATCACCAGGTGAACAGTGGCCCTGGAGTTGCACGAAAGCTATTGTAGCAATACTGGTTATACAAAGCTGTGCCATGTATGTTAAAGACAGAGAGATGAGACAGAGGAGGCAACGAGGTCGACCTTCCAGCTATCCACAAGCTCACTCCCCAAAAAGCTGCCAACAGCGGGAGCTGGACCAGAAAGAAGGCCAGAGTCTGAACTCCCTCCAAGTGTCTCTCATGGGCAGCAGGGGCACAACTACTTGAATAAATTAAAATAATAATAAATAGTCTTGTAAAAAACAAAATATTAACTCTGATTTGGATTGACCTCATTCTCACAGAAACACATCTTTTGGGCCCGGTGCAATGATTCAATTGGCTGACCCACACCGTGCCAAGCATCAGGATCCCATATGGGTGCCAGTTTGTGTCCCCGGCTGCTCCGCTTCCCATACAGCTCCCTGCTTGTGGCCTGGAAGAAGAGTAAAGAATGGCCAAAACCTTGAGATCCTGTACCTGTATGGGAGGCCCGGAAAAAGCTCCTGGTTCCAGACTGGCGCAGTTCTGGCCGCTGTGACCATTTGGGAAGTAAACAGTGAATGGAGATCTGTCTCTCCTCTCTGTAAATCTGCCTCTCCAATTAAATTAAATAAATCTAAAACAAACAAAAAAACCACACAGCTTTCTTTACTTCATTTTTTTCAGTACTTCCTTTACCAATATCTTTGCATGCATTAATTCTAAAAAAAAAAAAAGAGAGATGGCAATTAAGAAGTTAATTGAGCAGCTAGTGGTATGGTGCCCCAAGTTAAGCTTCTGTTTTCACTGCTGGCATCACACATCTAATGGAATGCCAAGGTGCAGTCTGAGACCTGGCTTGGCCCTTTGTGTATACCACAGCTGCTGCCCTGATCCCTCGATACAGAGCACGAGGCCACAGAACCTTCACAGCTCCTAGACAGAGCTGCAAGTCAGCAATGGGAAGGGGAGAAGGGTTCCTGCTTCAGTTTCTACTTATAATGGTGTCATGAGAAAAATAAGGATTAGCTCTAAGGGACGGTGACAGCCCATGTCACTGCAGATCCAAAGTAGTAACAGAACATTGGAAACATGTACCACTAGCAGCAGAGACAGAGCACCTCCCAGCCCAAGAAAGAGGCTGAGAGCCATCTTCAACACAGACTGGAGAGGAGCTTGGTCAAGTCCCACAGAAAACATCCCCTCCCCTCAGGGGCTGCTCTAAAAACATGCCAAGAGTCCCCTCATTCTCTGCCTAGGACTCCCTAGTGTTATCACTAAGGTGGTACTTTCTCCGCAACATCCCTGAAGGCTTTTCTCCCATCTGCTGTTCTTTACCCTGGGGGACACTGGATGGAGGGTCTATCAGGAAGACCCCCCCAGAACTCCCAGCACCACCTCTGGATGCAGGAGAGGAGCCCCACTTGATTCCCATCAGCAGTGGGAACATAGACCTGCGCTGGGACACTGCGAGCTAGAAGAGTGACCAGATGTTTGGGACACTGGGGCAATGTGCCTACTTGTTCTGTATTTCTGCATTAATTTAATTATGCCATTAATTATGCTGACCCAGAATTAATTAGACCTACGGGGCAACTGACAAGCAAGTCAGAGGGATTATCACCTACTGCAACAACTTGGTGGTAATTTTTCTTGGGATATTATATAAAAATACCATAATTTTAATATATTAGTCATGATGTATTTAAAATACTAGTCATGTGGTCATCACTCTGGCTCAATTGGCTAATCCTCCATCACCAAGTGCTGGAATCTCATATAGGTGCTAGTTTGTATCCTGACTGTTCCACTTTCGATTCAGCTGCCTGATTATGGCCTGGGAATGCAGTGGAGGATGAAACAAAGCCTTGAGACCCTATACCCACATGGGAGACCTGGAAGAAGCTCCTGGCTCCTGGCTTTGGACTGGTGCAGCTCCGGCCATGATAGCTATTTCTGGATTGGGAGACCTTTCAGTGCTTAGGAGATCCTTCTGTCTCTCCTCCTCTCTGTAAATCTGCCTCTCCAATAAAAATATATCAATCCTTAATAAATAGATACATAATAAGCAAATACAATTCACACAGTGCTAAAAAAAAAAAAACAGTGGTTTTAATTCCGTTAAAATACTTTGCATTACAAGAGAATGAGTAACACGGATATTAAAATCACATTAATAGATGTGTCCAAAATAAATATAGAAAAACTTCATGGAAAAATGGGTTCAGAGATGCTTACTTTAAGGCAAGATATTTCTTGGAATTCATGCATAGATTTTTCATAAACTACATTTTACATGAAAATTTCAAAAACATATTATGGCCTTATAGTCTCACTACTTTGGAAGCTATTAGATTTTTAATTTAAAGTAATATAGATATGTACAACTAATTACAAACTAAATACACAGCTTCAAGCCCCAGCACAAGGCTCATACGCTAACTCGTGCTTGCTTTTCTTGGTTAAGGATCTCAACATACTGTCAGTGACTACCTGGGGAGGCCAGTTTTCTGTTGAAGGCAACCACTCAGCATCTTTCTCTCTTTACAATTCTGAATTTAATGTTAAGCTTTGTGCTCAACTTTTTGTGCTCTTAAAATCAACTTTTGTGCTCTCAAAATCAAATCTGTGTCTGCTTTCAAACATTAGAAATGGAAAAAAGCGGGCCCAGTGGCGTGGCCTAGCAGCTAAAGTCCTCGCCTTGGATGTGCCAGGATCCCATATGAGCGCCGGTTCTAATCCCAGCAGCTCCTCTTCCCATCCAGCTCCTTGCTTGTGGCCTGGGAAAGCAGTCGAGGACAGCCCAGAGTATTGGGACCCTGCACCCGTGTGGGAGACCTGGAAGAGGTTCCTGGTTCCCAGCTTCGGATCGGCGCAGCATCGGCCGTTGCAGTCACTTAGGGAGTGAATCCTTGGACAGAAGATCTTCCTCTCTATCTCTCCTCTTCTCCAATAAAAATAAATAAATCTTTAAAAAATTGGAAAAAAGCAATCTGTCTAATCAAAACAAACAAAATACAAGCAAACAAAAAGTACTGAGGGGAGGGACTGTGGTGTAGGGGGTTAAAGCTCTATGTCAGATGCCTGCCACTCCTAACAGAGTGCCAACTTGCATCCCAGCTACATTGCTGCCATCCTGCTTCCAGCTGGTATAAGTATCTGAGGATATTTTAAAAATTTGAAGAAAAATGGAAAAACACAAAAAAATTTGAAATTGATGCATAATTTTTTTAAATGTATTCAATTTCATTGGAAATTTAGATGCTGATTCACCCCCAAACAGCCACAACAGCTGGAGCTGAACCGAAATGAAGCCAGGAGCCTGGAGCCTCCTCCAGATCTCCCATGTGGGTGCAGGGTCCCAAGGCTTTGGGCCGTCCTTGACTGCTTTCCCAGGCCACAAGCAGGGAGCTGGATGGGAAGCAGGGCAGCCAGGATTAGAGCCAGCACCGATATGGGATCCTGGCAGGTGCAAGCCGAGGACTTGAGCCACTAGGTTACCACACCAGGCCTGAAGCATAATTTTCTTATGTGCATCTTTCACATAAGCAAATGCCAGATGTGATAAATCTAAAAGAATTTTTTTTTCCAATTCTGATAACCTTTCTAATATCGTCTTACAGTAGCAGTTATCAGATTCTTTTTAACTTACTTATTTTTCTATTGGAAAGTCAGATTTACAGAGAAAAGCAGAGACGGAGAGGAAAATCTTCCTTCTGATTGTTCACTCCCAAGTGGCTGCAACAGCCAGAGCTGAGCCAATCCAGCCAGGAGCCAGGAGCTTCTTTCTGGGTCTCCCATGTGTGTGCAGGGTCCCCAGGCTTTGGGCTGTCTTCTGCTACTTTCCCAGGCTACATGCAGGGAGCTGGGATGCAAACCAGCACACATATGGGATCCCAGTGCATGCAAGGCAAGGACTTTAGTCACTAGCCTACAGTGCTGGTTAGCAGATTTTAGGGACCAGCATAAAAGTGCAGTGGGTTATGTTGCTGCCTACAAGGCCAGCATCACCCCACATTTCACAGTGCCATTTGACATTCCAGTTGTTCTATTTCTATCCCAGCTCCATGTCAGTGCACCTGAGAAGGCAGCAGGTCATGAGCCTGGTCCTCAGACTCTGTCACCCACCCAGCAGATAGAGTTCTAAGCGCCTGGCTTCAGCCTGCCCAGCCCCCAGAGTTGTGGCCATTTGGTAAGCGAACCAGCAGACCTCTTTCTCTCTCCCTATCCCATCACCCTACTTTCTTTTCTCTTCTCTTTTCTTTTCTTTTCTAAGATTTTTGTTTTCTGAAAGCCAGGTTACAGAGAAAAGGGAAAGTCAGAGGGAGAGGTCTTCCATCTACTGCTTTACTCCCAAAAGTGGCCACAATGGCCAGAGCTGAGCTGAACTGAAGTTAGGAGCCAGGAGCTTCTTTCAGGTCTCCCACATGGATTCAGAGGCCAAATAACTTGCTTTCCTAGGCCATAATCAGGGATCTCAATGGGGAAAGCAGCAGCCAGGGCACAAATCAGCTCCCATATGGGATGCTGCAACTGTAAGGCAGAGGATTAGCCTGTTGAGCCACTGCACTAGCCTATCCCTGCCTTTCTAATAAACAAAACAAATATTTTTTTTAAAAAAGTTAAATCTTAGGCTAGTGTTAGTTATCATTATATTGGAAAGCAACTGTGGGATTCCTTTCAAACATGCCCAATGACTCAGTCACACAACCCATAGCAAGCAAACTTCCATTTTTTCTTGAAGCCTGAAGAAAACCATTATAACCTCAGCTATAAGAGCCCAGCTGTAGGGCAGTGAGGTTCTGCGGTAAACAGGTGTGGGGATTTGGCCTCAGGCCAGTGAACTCACCCTGCAGTGTTTGATAACCGCCTACCGCTTCCTCCCCTTCCTTGCTGTCAAACCCACATGTCCACTGAAATGACTGCCAGTGGGTCTCTCTCCAGTATTACTTCAGTAATCTTTATTTCTGCTAAAATAGGTGTAGCCTAGAAATCAGCTCAAAAAAGTATTTCTCTAAGTATAATAGTAAGCCACATTATACCCAACTCAAGGTAATTGTAAATTAGAAACAATTTATGACAAAGCTAGATACTTAACTGTTCTCTGGACTGAGAAGAAAACCCTTTCTACTCTGTTTTCTGCAGACTGTCAAATGCCTATATAAAAATGCATAAAGCCTTAAAAGATATTTTTAAATTACTATAAAGGTATTTTGGGATTAGCACTGCAGTGAAGCAGGTTAAGCCTCTGCCTACCACACTGTTATCCCATATGAGCACCAGCTTGAGTCCCGGCCTCTCCACTTCCAAACCAGCTCCCTGTTAATGTGCCAGGGAAAGTAATAGATAATGGCTCAAGAGCCGCAGCCCCTGTTAGCCACATGGGAGCCTCAGATGAGGTTGCTGGTCCCTGACTCCTGCCTTTGGCCTGGTTCAGCCCTGGGTGTTGCAGTCATTGGGAGAGTTAGCCAGCATATGGAAAATTGTTTCTGGCTCTCTATATTTCAAGTAAGTAAATAAAACAGAATCTCAACAAAAAAAAAAAAAAAGATTTTATTTTGCTTGCCTAGACCGTTGTAACTGAACTGTTAGTACTGTATTATGACATGGATCATTGATTAACATATACTACATACAAACTGAATGTATCTTACCTGAAATGCATGGGACCAGAACCATCTAAGATTACAGATCTGGGAATGTTTGCATACATTTTACTGGCTGAACATCCCTAACCAGAAAAACTCCAAAATTCAGAGCATCTCACATCTCATATTTTTGGATTAGCTTACTCAAGCTGTACTGTGTGTTTACATTTATCCACTTACTTGTTCATTGCGCCCGAGATTAAGCTTTGCAACCAGGGTGACCATCTCAGCACCATCACTATGCTCCTCAATTTTCAGATAACAATCTCATTTTCAAATACTACTTCCAGTGATTGAACAGGAGAAAACTAAGTAAGCCTGCAATACCAACACACGTTCCTGTGCCCACCGCAAACTGGCTGTCAGCCACCAAAGGCAGAAGAGCCATGGCCAATAACTTATCTTTTAGTCTATTAAAACGAGAAAAATCCAATTGTGAGTCTTCAGAAGTACTTTCTACATCTGATGAAGAGTGTGTGTAGTAGACCCAGGCACTGTGTAAGGCTGGCACCCCACAAGGGCACTGGTTCATGTCCTGCTGCTCTGCTTCACTTTCAGCTGCCTACTAACGGGCTGGGGCGAGCAGAACACAGCCCGAGGGTCTGGAGCCCTGCCACCCACAGAGCAGACCCCGAGGCTCCTGGCTTCAGCCTGACCCAGTCAGACTGTTGCTGCCATCTAGGGAACAAGCCAGGAGATGAAAGATATCTCCCTGTCTATCCCTCCCTTTCTCTCTGTAACTCTTTCAAATGAATAATTAAGTCAAAAAAGAAAAGAAAGAAACGAGAGTGAGGATTATGGGGAAAAGGGAGTGAGCAGAAACATGACAGAAAGAAGGAAAAAAATGGTAGGAATACAAATTCACTGTGAGAAAGTTACAGCTTGTATTTAAATCGATGCTTCGGAACATTCCTTCTCAGTAGAATTAACCTGCCCATTATGGTCTCACTGTGCAGTTTCTTTGCAAGCCTTACCAATGATACCACTCACTCTCCAGTCACCACACCCACTCCGCGCGCAGTCCACGCTGGGAACGGAAAGGAGCATAGCAGACTCTTTCACACAGTTTTTATTCTTACCTTCAGCTGGAACCCAGTTTCAATCACTGTCTCCTTCCAGTTTCCTTCCTGTAAATTCAAGTTAATTTGAGAAATTACTGCAAAGCAAAATAACCCATAAAGAATATTACATCTTACACAAATATCTTTCACTCTGTTTTTAACTTCAGGAGAGATGGCAGAGAGGTTAAAAAAAAAAAGACATCATTTCAAACTTAAGCATACAGTTCAGACGTGAGACAGACTTTATAGATATGGACTGCAAAAAACCGATGAGTAATTTTGATATCATTTAAATGTTACCAAAAAGTTATATCTTGACCTACTCCATTTCCAACCTGAGCCAGTTCACACCTCCTTGGGCAAACTAGTGGTCCTTGGCTCCAGGGAGGTGACCATACTGATACCTGAACTTAGTGTGGGCTCCTGACTGGCATAGCACACTACAGCCCAGAACTCCTGGACTCGGTGACTCTCAAGTAGCTGGGACTGCAGACATGCACCTCATCAACACATGGGTCATTCAGTAGCCTGTTATTTAACTTCATGGTGTTGTCAAATTTTTAACTTTAGTCCCGTTGTTGATTTTGTTGTATGGTTATCCATTTAAGACAAATGGATAACATTTACTATACTATAAATGTATAGCAACTGTGTAATAGAGACTATCACATCCAGATGTGAGGATACAATGCAGTATGCCATTTTTACTCCCAGATCAAAGTTGGACTCCCAATGACACTGTTGGATATATCTTGACAATAGAAAGCTGGACTGTCTGCCATTGTCTGTACCTACAACATCAGGACACACTTAGATAGCAGAATGATGGAGTTCTGGCTGCTTATGAAGGATTATACTGTTGTTAAATATGGGGAATAGTGTTAGGGGGAGGGAGTTTGGGGAGGGAGTAAGGTATATCCCAGAGCCTACAGAATTGTATCATAAAATAAAAAATAAAATAAAGTTACACCGTCGATAACTATAAGTCTAACATATGCTAGTCAAAAGAATGAAGGAACCTGAAATTTTGAAATTCAATATAAAACAAAACCATAATTGCAGGGTCTTTCTCTTTTGAACCACCCCACTCCTGATACTCCACAAAAGGTTTCCATCTCTAATATTCTTAATAAATCTCACTTTGCACAATGAAAAAAAATCACAATTCCATACGAATTATAAATTTGCTCCAAAAAGATCCTTAAGAATAGCATTCTACAGCTTAAAAAAAAAATCATATGAACAATCTTAAAAGATGACACAAAAGAGAACTACCTGCGTCAGAAACAAATAGAAGATCTTGTCTCTACAAAGGACAGGATGGGAAGCAACTCTCAAGAGGAAGTTTTCCAGACCAATGCGCCGTCTCTCCACAAAGTCAGGATCCATGTTGTCAGCAGACAGCTTGTGCCAAACAAATTCTGCCTAGGTGAACAAAACATCATTAAGGACAATCCCGCTGCCAGCTACCTCCAAACCACTGTATTTCACTTCTTACCCGTTTTTCTGGCAGAGGTGGCACAACAATGTGTGGATAGTAAACTAACAGGTAGTTTCTCAACAGCTCGAACTCACTGTACCGCCTCCACAGTGCATCTGTTAGGACACTCTGGCCATCGGTGGGTTCAACTGACCTAAAAAGGAAGACAAGAACATTTCTACTATTTTTTAAAAATAAAAATACATAAGGTTTGGCATGGTGTTATAGCATGCTAAACGTCTGCCTGTGGTGTCTGCATCCCAACTGGACACAAGTCTGAGTCCTGGCTGCTCCATTCCTGATCGAGTTCCCTGCTGATGGCCTGGGAAAGCAGCAGAGGATGATCCCAAGTCTTCAGGTCCCTGAACCTGCTAGGAAACCTGGAAAAGCCTCCTGGCCTTGGACCAGCTCAGCTCTGCCAACTGTGTCCATCTGGGAACTAAACCAGAAGGTGGAAAAGCTCTTTCTCTCTCCCTAAACCCCGAGAACATTGACTTTCAAGTAAAAAATAAATAAATCTTTTATATATATATTATATTATATGTACGTATGTGTATATAATACAGATATACATATGTATGTGTATACATATGCATGTCTATATACATACATGCATGTAATACATGAATCTTTTTATATAAAATATAAGTATTTTGTATATATAAAAAAATATAAACACCTCTTTTAAGATTTACCACCATTTAAATGTTTGTGAACCAAGTCCCAAAATGCTTTTTGTGCATTTTCTAATTGAATCCTTACAAAAATCTGTGAAGCAGGGACCCTCCACCTTACAGATGAGGAACTGGCTGCAAGGCACAGGCTCTGCCACGGGCACAGAGACCCACACCTTGGTACGAACATCCATCAATACCAGGCCCCCACTCCCAACCACTTCCCTTCAGTTACCAGAAACCCACTGCACTCAACAGACACAGCTGTGCTGGAAACACTTCAAAAGCCACAATACATCATCTTAGATTTCAGGGTAAAATGTGGCTTGGCTACTATCTCATTAAATAAATATTTTTAATTCCAGTCCTTCCATGATGAAGGGACAATATTCACAATGAAGATTAACCTGCCACAAAATTTCAATTCAAATCATAAAGGAAATCAGATGAATCCAAGTGCAAGGAAACACAACAGCAAAACCTCAATGATCTCTAAAGGATGGGCAAGAGAAGCAGTAAAAGTCCCTTTCAAGTTTTACTTACAATGATGAAAAGCTGGCAGGCAGTACTATATGAGTTACAACTGGGAGAAGGCTGGGATTACAGCACATAAAAGATATTTGAAACTATGTGACTACTTGAGATTTCTGCCAGCATAAGCACTGTGAGAAAGAGAAAGCACCAATATTCTAACAACCTTTAGGACTTTCTTGTTTTCTGAGTGCTTGTTGGACAACAACTTCTTTGTACTCCAAGAAATGTACACACAACCACAATGCAAATCCCTATGCCTGAAAACAAAGACACAAAACATAAAAACACAAGAACATAAAGACAGGGAAACAGGGCTGGGGCTGGTGCGGTAACCCAACGGCTAAAGTCCTTCTCTTGCATCTGCCAGGATCCCATATGGGCAGCAGTTCTAATCCCGGCAGCCCCACTTCCCATCCAGCTCCCTGCTTGTGGCCTCAGAAAGCAGCAGAGGACAGCCCAAAGCCTTGGGACCCTGCACCCGCGTGGGAGACCTGGAGGAAGTTCCTGGCTTCCAGCTTCGGATTGACTCAGCTCTGGCCATTGCAGTCACTTGGGGAGTGAATCATTGGATGGATCTGTCTCTCCTCCTCTTTAAATTCTCACTTTCCAATAAAAATAAATAAATCTTAAAGAAAGGGAAGGAAAAAAAAAAAAGCAGCAGCAGCAGGAGCCTGTGCTGTGGTATAGAAGGTAAAGCTTCAATCTGCAGGGCCAGCATTGCTTATACACACCAGTTCGAGTCCTGGGTACTCCTCTTCTGCTCCAGCTCCACACTAATGTGCCTAGGCAAGCAGAAGATGGCTCGCGTGGGAAACCTCTTGGCTCCCAGCTTTGGACCAACCCAGCTCCTGTGGCGCACCAACAGATGGAAGGTTCTTTCTCACTTCTTCCCTCCCTCTCTTCTTCCCTCTCTCTGTAACTCTTTCAAGTAAAATAAATGTTTTTTAAAAATCATAAATCATTTTAAAGAGTTCACCTAAAATATTAGCTATATATTTTTTTAAAGATTTATTTTTTTATTTTTATTGGAAAGGCGGATATACAGAGAGGAGGAGAGACAGAGAGGAAGATCTTCCGTCCGATGATTCACTCCCCAAGTGACCGTAATGGCCGATGCTATACCTATCCAAAGCCAGGATCCAGCAACCTCTTCCAGGTCTCCCACATGGGTGCAGGGTCCCAAGACCCAAAGCTTTGGGCCGTCCTCAACTGCTTTCCCGGGCCACAGATGGGGAACTGGATGGGAAGCGGGGCCGCCAGGATTAGAACCGGCGCTAATATGGGATCCCGGGCGTGCAAGGCGAGGACCTTAACCACTGCACCATCGCACTGGGCCCAATATTAGCTATATTTAATAACTATTGCAATTCAGATTCTCAACTTTAGCTGAAGAAAAATAACAGTAGGTTTCAGATTATTAAACATTACTGCAAACACAATCCATGGCTTGCTAGTGACTACAGAAATAAAACTAATACACAGAACACCTAAAAGACTTGTAGAGAATCTGTTAAGCGTTAAGCAACAACAACAGGGGATAGCCTTGTGGTACAGCAGGTTAAAGCCGCTGTTTTTGATATGTCATCTCTTACCAGAGTGCCATTCTGAGTCTCAGCTACTTGACTTTCAATTCAGCTCCCTGCTAAGGTGCCTTGGAAGGGAGAGGAAGATGGCCCAAGTACTTGGCTCCTACCATCCATGTGGGAGACCAGGATGGAGTTCCTAGTTCCTGGCTTCAGCCTGGATCACACCTGGTTGTTGTGGATATCTGGGACATGAACGAGCAGATAGAAGGCATCTCTCTATAGTTATTTCTAACTTTCCCTACTGATCTACCTTTCAAATACATATTAACAAAATGAAGAGGCAGCCAACAAGATGGAAGAAAATTATGGCACACCACACAACAGATAGGGAACTAGCAGCCAAGATCTACAAAGAGCCTCAGAAACGCAACAATAGCAAAACATACAACGCTGCTAAAGAAATGGGCACAGGACATGAGCAGATATTTGCAAAAGAAGAAATTTAAATGACTAATAGACACATTAAAAAACCCTCAGGCTCCCTAACAGGGAAATGCAAATAAAAAAATACATTGAAGTTCCACCTAACAAACAGCTGGTAGTGAGGAGTGGGGGAAAAGCACCCTAATGCACTGTTGGTGGGCGTGTAGACCAGTGCAGCTACTAGAGTCACTACGGAGAGCGCTCGGACACACTGAGAACTGATCTCCATCTGACCTAACTACCCCATTCCCGAAATATACCTACTTCAGATTCAGCACCCAGCTTCTGGCCAAGAAAACAGGAGGATGGCCCAAATGCTTGGGACCCTGCAGCCACATGGGAAACCAGGAAGAAGCTCCCGGATGCAAACTTTGAACTGGCTCAGCTCTAGCTGTTGCGGTAATCTAGGAAGTGAACCCATGGATGGAAGACTTTCTTTTTCTATCTCTGTAAAATCTGATTTCAAATAAAAATAAATATTTTTCATTAACAACAACAACAACAAAAGGAAAATTCCAGGGGGAATGTTTGATCTACTAGTTTAAATGCTGGCTGACACATCTATATTCACGCTGAGTACCTTGCTTCAAATCCTGGGCCCACTGATTCCAGCACCCTGGGAGGCCACAAGTGACAACAGCTCAAGTAGCTGGGCCCTACTACCTACATAGAAGATCTGAATTAAGTTGCAAACTTCATCCTGGCCCAGCCCTAGGTATTGTGGGTATCTGGAGGAGCTATCAGCAGATGAGAATGCCTTGGCTATTCCACTTCCAATTCAGCTCCCTGCTTAGGCCTGGGAAAGCAGCAGAGGATGACCCCAAGCCTTGGGACACTGCACCCGAATGGGAGACCCGAAAGAAGCTCCTGGCTCCTGGCTCCTGGCTTTGAATTGGCTCAGCTCCGGCTCTTGTGGTTCTTTGGGGAGTGAGCCAGAAGAAGGAAGACCTTTCTTTCCTTTCTCCCTCTCTCCCCTCTGTAAACCTGCCTGTCCATTAAAAATTAACAGATCTTAAAAACAAATAAATAAAATAGAACAGAATTTATACGAATACAATTTTACAGTTTGACAATAATCCTTTAACTTGATGTCAGTGCTGTGGTACAACGTTAAGCCACTGCCTGTGACACCAGCATCTTACCGAGGGTTGGTTAAGGTTTCAGCTGCTCAACTTCTGACTCAATTCCTTGCTAACATACACAGAAAGTAATAAATGGGAAGATGTCCCAAGATCTTGCACCCATGCACCCATGCACCCACTTGGAGATCTGAATCAAGCTCCAGATCCGGGGCATCAGCACGGACCAGAAACGCCCAAGACAGCCCTGCAGGAGTGAGCCAGTGGGTAGAAGGTCTTTGTTTCTTCCCCTCTCTTTTTAAAATAATTAAAAGCCAGGAGCTTCTTCCAGGTCTCCCATGTTACTGCGGGGGCCAAAGGACTTGGGTCATCTTCCAGTGCCTTCCCAAGTGCATCAGCAGGGAGCTAGACAAGAAGTAGAACAGCTGGGTCCCAAACCGGTGATCAAATGGAATGTTGGCTTTGCAGGTGGTGGCTTAACATGTTATACCACAACAATGGCCCACGTTTCCTAGTTCCTAGTTCCATGGTTCACTTTTGTATTTTCTACCTTACCACATAGTCTAAATTGCCAATGTCAATTAATTTATCTTCCCATCAATTTATCTGCTACGTCCAACTGTCCTAAGATGACAGGTCTTCTTTATTTTTTTTTTTCTATTGGAAAATCCGATATACAGAGAAGGAGAGACAGAGAGGAAGATCTTTCATCCAATGGTTCTCTCCCCAAGTGGCCGAAAGGGCCAGAGCTGAGCCAATTCAAAGCCAGGAGCCAGGAATTTCCTCAAGGTCTCCCACACAGGTGCAGGGCCCCAAGGCTTTGGGGCTGTCCCCGACTGCTTTTCCAGACCACAAGCAGGGAGCTGGATGGGAAGTGGAGCTGCCAGGATTAGAACTGACACCCATATGGGATCCTGGCACACGCAAGGTGAGGACTTTAGCCACTAGGCTACCGCACCAGGACATTCTTTAAATTTTTTTTAAGTTGATGATTCATTTATTTTTACTGGAAGCTCAGATTTACTGAGAAGAGAAAAACAGAAAGATCATGCACCTGCTGATTTACTTCCCAAGTGATCACAATAGCTAGAGCTGAGCCCGTCCAAAGCCAAGGAGCCTCTCTCGGGTCTCCCACATGGGTGCATGGTCTCAAAGCTTTAGGCCATCCTCAACTGCTTTCTCAGACCACAAGGAGGGAGCTGGATGGAAGTGGAACAGCCAGGACACGAACCAGTGCCCTAGTGAGATCCTGGCACATACAAGGCAAGGATTAAGCCACTGAGCCATTGCACCAGGTCCTGCTCCTATTCTTTACTCCTAGAGTTCTTTGTTAAGAATTTCCAAACAAAGAAATTTTCTGTATATTCCCTCAAGGACCTGGAGAATCTACAACAAAGCCATGTGTCCAGTAGCATTCCAGGTCCCAGAAGTATTCCACAAACTACTCTCTTCCCCCCAAGACAAATACATTAGAGTACGGCTACCGAGATCATGCCCACAAAAGGCCCAGCTGTGTACTTAATCTGTGAAAACGTAAAACAAAGTCAATCCCAGAGAACAAAGGAATTTATAAGATACTCAACTCCTCAACGCGGTTTGCACCAACAGCACAGAAAGCTCTCTGGACACAGGCCTCACTCTCGTCACCTACCGTGTTTCAATGAGGTAAGCAGTGTACGTTTCCTGCATGTTCATGGCAGTTCTTCCGGTTCGCTTTTCTGCTTCGGAAACACTGATTTCTATCTTCTTCAACAAGAAATTATTTTCTGTCATCTGGACAAAGGACAATGAGACAAGAACAAAAAATCCTTGAATACTTTGGAAAAAAAAAGACGTTGCTATTGTTCTTACATATATCAAGATAGTTTCTTCTATCTCTTGAATTGCGAGGGGTTACAACAGGAAGTCTCTTTTAACCAAGCAATTATAGTATGTTAACATTTCCAAGCTGTATAATTAAAGGAATCACACATTTCATTATTAAGATTGACATTTCACTAAGTGACCACAAATAAATCTCTATAGAACCACATAAGAAGTAAAAAACTTTGAGTACAGAGTGATGTCTCAACTGGTTAATCCTCTCCTTTCAAGTGCCAGGATCCCATATGGGTGCCAGTTTGTATTCCAAATGCTTCACTTTCCATCCAGCTTCCTGGTTATGGCTGGGAAAGCATTGGAGGATAACCCAAAGCAGTGGGACCATGCATCCGCCTGGGAGGCCCAGAAGAAGCTCCTAGATCCTGCTTTGGATCATCAACAGCTCTGGCCATTGCGGCCATTTGGGGAGCAAACCAGAAGATCTCTGGTCTTTTCTTCTTCCTGTAAATCTGCCTTTCAAATAAAAATGAAAAAAAATCTTTGGAAAAAAAAAAGAAAAATTTTTCCAAAGATTTATTATTTTTTTTATTGAAAAGTCACATACAGAGAGGAGGAGAGACAGAGAGGAAGCTTTTCCATCTGCTGATTCACTCAGCCACAACACCTGGAGCTGTGTCGCTCCAAATACATGAACCAGGAACTTCCTCTAGGTCTCCCATGCGGGTGCAGGGTCCCAAGGCTTTGGACTGTACTCCACTGCTTTCCCAGGTCACAGACAGGGAGCTGGATGGGAAGCGGAGCCACTAGGATTAGAACTAGCACCCATATGGGATCCCAGCGTGTGCAAGGTGAGGATTTTGGCCGCTAGGCCACTGTGCCAGGCCTGAAAAAAATAAAGTTTAAAAGCACATTATTCATGGATTCTAGGAATATGATAGCAAGCAACATGAATCTGTTTTCCCACTAAAACAATAATTATATGAGCAGACTAGATCTGATGCAAATATCTGGCAATTTTGTTGTCTCATGAGGACTTAAATGACAGCATGTAGTCAATTTTGATCAACTTCAGCTCTTACATGGCATGGCCTGCCCCATCCATCCCAGCCTTCGGTATGAGCTGGTGTGGCCCACTCCGCCCCATATCCTGTTTAGGGTGCTCATGCAGGTGCTGCAGCATGGACCTGTCCCACTTGTTCCCAACCCCAGTACCACTGAGTATAGGTCATTTACACGGTAACACATAGCTCTGTGGGGCTCAGGGATGAAGAGGTCACTAAGTCAACAAGATGGTGACTAACAGTCAAGGTCACTAGGTTACACATGGCGAGCAAGATGGCAGCCAAGGACAGAGCCCTGGGTGTGAACCAGAGCAGCGGTCAAGTCATTTTAAAGAAAGATTGGCCAGGGCCATTTCGCTCACCTGCCCCTGGCCTAGGGGAGGTGGGTTCCTCAGTCATGTGGATGACAATTGACTCCTACTTTCTCCCCTCCTGGAATTCCTGGCCAGAGGCTGTTTGCTACCCTATATAAGAGTTTGTATTTCACAAATAAACCAGAACTACTTAAATGGAACCCCAGCTGCATCTGTTTGTCTCCTGCGCACCAGGAGGCTGGATGTTGGGCAGTAGGCTCGCCCCCTCCAGCAACAGGGTACTAGAGGAATCTGTGGGGGAGACCCCACAGAGCTCAGCCTATTACCATCCCAAATTTCAAGCTACTGAGCAGGACTTGTGGCTCTATAGGGTTGGGCCCATTTGTCCCCAACAGAATCCACCCCTGGACCTGGTTCTCTTGCTTGCTAGCTGGTGTCATGGCCCAGTCTGATGTGACCCATCACCTGATCTGACACTCACTGTCAGGTACTGGGATCTAGCCCTTCCAGACAGACCCCCAGCCACAGCTTGCGTGTATGCTGGTGTGTGGTGGTCAGTCATGTTCCATGCTAACAAGCCCAACCCAGGACTCCCATGTGGGCTGGTATATCAGTCTGACCCATAAAGATCTTCAGGTCTCTCCCCTCCAAACCACCAGGTCTCAATCCCCTAGCTTAACTGCAAGTACAGTGGCTTTGTCTTTGAGTGTCCCTCAGGAATTATTCCTCACATACATGTACAGTGGCCTGACCGATGGAAGTCCTTAGGCAGTAATAGATACCCCTAAAGCCCCAGAGCTCGCTGCCAGGCGGCCAGTGGGCAGAGCTCAGCACCAGTTGGTGCGCTGGCCACCTACAAGCCCAGGACCCTCCCCCGACACAGCAACAGTAGATGGGGAGTTAGGGTCCCCAGCAGGCAGCCTGGCACAGCACGGGTTCTCCCAGCCACAGCTATGGGGCTGGGGGAGTAAGGTACCCACTACACTGCTCAGATTTGCCTGGGCTCCGCCCATCAAGATGACAGTAGTAGGTGGAGCCATGGTCCTGAGCATACCCCTGAGTGGTCCGATATCCATCCCCAATGTGATCGCTGGGGAAAGAGGAAATTCTCAGACCTTGAGGTTGGACAAATTCAGGAGCCTTTCCCAACCCTGCAGCAGATTGGGAGCTGGGGTTCCCAGCATGAAGCCTGGTGCATCACAGGTTCTCCCAGCCAAAGCCACATGGCCAGGAGACTGAGGTACCCGCTCTGCTGCTCAGACTTACCTGGGCTCCCCTACTCCATTTTCACCCAGTATGCTGCTAACTAGCTTGAGAAAGCAGAATAAGAGAGCCTGAGTGTGTGAGTTCTTACCACTCACACAGAGACCACAATGGAGGAGCCTGGCTCCTGGATTTGGCCTGACCCAGCCCTGGCTGATAAAAGCACACTATGCTTTACAAATAAGTAAATACATAAACCCATTTTTAAAGATTGATTTGTTTGTTTGAAATTCAGAATGATATATACACAGAGGGAGAGACAAAAAGAAAAAAATTTTTCCTCAGCTAGTTCACTCGTCAAATGGCCACAATGGCCAGAACTGGGCCAGTTCAAAGCCACAAAGCCAGGAGCTTCTTCATGCGGGTGCAGGAGCCAAAGCACCTAAGCCTAGATGAAATGGGCACATTCCTAAAAACACAAAACCTATCAAGACTAAATCATGAAGAAACAAAATTTTTGATACAACTGAAAACTAGAAAGAAGACTGAATCACTAATCAACAATCTCTCAACAAAGCCTGGAATCTAATGGCTCCACACTGCTAAATTCCACCAAACACTGAAAGAACTAATGTTAACCCTCAAGTTCTTCCAGAAAGTTCATCAAGAAGGGAACACTTCCTAACTCCACCTATGAGGCCAGCATTACTCTGATACCAAAGACAAAGATACTATAAGAAAACGGGGGCCTGCATCACGGCACAGCACGCTGACACTTCCAATTTTGGCATTTCGTATCAGAGTGCCAGTTCGAGTCCCTGCTGTTTCACTCGCAATCCACCTACTGATTATTCAACTAAGAAGGCAGAAGAGGACAGCTCAAGCACTTGAGTCCCTGCCTTCTACACAGGCAATCTGGATGGAGTGAGGATCCTGGATTTGGCCTGTCCCAGTTCTCTGCTTCTGACATAGCTTGCTGGGAATGTGCGCCTGGGAGGCAGCGGGTGACAGAGCTCAGGCACACGGCAGATCTGACTTGAGTTGCAGGCTCCTGGCTTCAGTCTGGATCCACCGGATCCACTGTGGCTGCTGCAGGACCCGGGGAGTGAATCGACTGAAGGTTTAACCTAGGGGTTAGAATTTCAATCCAGGACTTTTGGGAGGACACAGTCACTCAGTCCATTGCAAAGTGTGTTATCCAGATTTTGCAGGTGAGGAAAAGGAAGCCAAGAGAAGCAGCTCGCCTAGAGTCGCGTGACTCATCCATGTCGGAGAGGAGGGTCACATTCAGGCAAGGTGGCCACGAAGCTCAATCAGAACTGGTCTGAGGCTCTTTTAAGTACAAACTGCCTCTTCCCTGTTCACCAGCTGACCTGCCTGATGCCACCCACAAGGGTTTCTTTGGATTTAACTCTGCTCCAATGGTGCGTGTATTTCTCACACACTTCCACACCTTGTGCTATGTGCTACAAGCCTTTCTCCCATTTACCACAGGGAATTTAAAGTGTTTGCATTCAGTTGATTTTAATGTAACACAGCTTATACTTTGTTGCTTAACAGAATTTGTCTGTTTAGGCTTCTGCTTTTCAGGCCATCATTTCTGATTTTTATTCTCCATGATGATTTGGGAGGCATGTAACATTGTTTTTTTCTCCTTCAAAATACAACTAAAAAATTATTTACATAATGTTATGGCCATTAAATCTTCTTTTAAAGATTTATTTATTTATTTTTATTGCAAAGGCAGATACACATAGAGGAGGAGAGACAGAGAGGAAGTCTTCTGTCCAAGGATTTACTCCCCAAGTGACCGCAATGGCCGGTGCTACACCCATCCGGAGCCAGGAACCAGGAACCTCCTCTGGGTCTCCCACGTGGGTGCAGGGTCCCAAGGTGTTGGGCCGTCCTCAACTGCTTTCCCAGGCCACAAGCAAGGAGCCGGAGGGGAAGTGGAGCTGCTGGGATTAGAACCAGCGCCCATATGGGATCCTGGTGCATCCAAGGCGAGGACTTTAGCTGCTAGGCCACCGCACTGGGCCTGATCACTAAAAATTTTTTTAATAATTACATACATGTAAATAATCTCAAATGTGCAGCATGGACAATACAAAGAACTTTTCCTCCCAAGTTATTTGGATGTAGGTTGCTTTATCACTAGAACCTTTGCATGTATTTTTAGGAAAAGATTCTCCTGCAATACCACAACAGTACCCTAAGAACCAAGAGAACAATTCTGATCAGTAGCTGCTATGGACTCCCCAGACTCCCTTTGTCCTGCCATTTGTTCCAGTAATCTCCAGAACGGCAGGAGTCGGCACAGCCTCTTATTCCATTTAGTGGTTTTATCTCGTTACTTTCCTCCATCTTGGAAAAA